AACGCTAGATAGCTGTTGCGAGTTGACTTTCAGCCTGATAGGATCTACAATAGCTCTCATAGCTCTCTAAAAATGCTAATATTTAACTTAAACCGTAGAGCTCTATTACTTCAAAAAATATTATGCTATATCCATTGTTATCTCATTGCGCCGTCGTACATTCAAGAATCGATGTTGCTTTCTTCCTATTGCTTTGGTTAGGTTCCTTTTCGAACACTTTTCACGTAGTTCTGTCTTTTCTTGTAAGTATGTATAGATAGTCACGTAATCACTTGGGCGAAGTGATTCCAGCTGCCACTGTTTGAGGTGGGCAGGACAGATGACTCAACCAAGTCGCCAAGACGATGGATAGCTACGTCTTGGCGTGCTTCATGGCTCAACACCAAGTTCCTGGTAACTACACTGTCTGATTCAAGAACACCGTAGATGCTACCTATACAGTCTCGTTTTACTAGTCTCTTATGGAGGAAGAATGGGGCCGAAGAGTCCGCATTGTGCCTAACCCCAGCCAGTGGTTTGTGCATGTGCAGATTACATGCAGCTCTCCCGATTGTAGACACCTGGTACCTCAGGATACCTACTTTGAGCACAGAGGTACTAACGTAGCATTTTCCCCATGATTTCGTTGTAACACTACCCCTCGTTATAGTGATTCCTCAATTAGTACCCGGGAACGAGCATCAATCGCAATATTTAATCCTCGAATCATCCAGTACATGTGAGAAGGTATGTCTGTGTACCCATTCATTTATATAAAAAGCCTCCCCTGTGCAGTTTGCGTTTGAAAGGTCGTATTAGTACTTATTAATCCACACTCAGCCACCCCTTATTTTTCCGTCCTTAGCTCAGCGCATATCACTCGCCGGCTATGCCGTCTTATGTTATTACAGGCGCCTCAAAGGGGCTGGGGGTAGTATATGTCTGTCCAAAGCCAAGTGTAGTCGCTAATCGTATACCAGTTTGAGTTCGTTCGCCAACTATCCGAGAATCCAGACAATCTAGTTGTCGGCATAGCCCGAGACAAGGCGGCTACAGTGAAGAAAGTATCAGAAGAGCTCGCCGGACGATCCAATATCCATATTTTACAAGGTGACATCACTGACTACGACTCAATCAAGGTGAGATATATGTGTGGTGCAATCTGGGTGTAATACTTTACCAACGCGTGATTGGCAGAAAGCCGTTGAGGACACAGCCACGCTCACCGGAGGGGCGTTAGACTTTCTCGTCGCCAATGCTGCTTATGTATCACAATGGGACGCCTATGATTCTCTTGGTACCCTGTAGGCAGCCACAACCCCTGAGATAATGTTTGACGTTACAGCGGAGACGTTTCACTTACATTACAAATTGCCAGGGCAAAGAAGCCTCAGGAGCTTGAAGATGATTTGCTCAAATCCTTCAAGGTCAATGTCCTGTCCAACATTCACCTCTTGAACCAGTTCATGCCGCTTATCCTCAAAGGTCAAGCGAAGAAAGTCATTGTACTATCTAGCGGCCATGCCGACCTAGATTCAATCAGACTGTATGATCTAGATGTAGCATGTGGCTATGCTATCAGTAAGGCAGCAATGAATGCTGCAGTGGCAAAGTTCAGCGCCCAATACAGAAAGGATGGTGTGCTCGTTATGAGTATCTGTCCGGGCTCGGCAGACACAGGTCAATTCGCGAAGGGTAGGCTCGTCACATTTCCCCTGATGACTGCGTCGCAACCACTCTAACTGTTTTGTAGCAACTCCGGAGCAACTTCAGTCCGCGATGCAATTGATGGGAAAGTTTCAGCAGTATGCGCCAAACTTTACGGGTCCTGGGGCTCCGAAGGATGCTGTTAGCGCTGTCATTGGCGTGTGGGAAAAGGCTAGCATTGAGAATGGAGATGCAGGCAATTTTGTATCTCATTACGGTAACAAGCAGTGGCTTTGATACTAGGTTTGAGACAGTAGTCAAGGACTTCTAAATTCTAGCTATGAATACATCAGAATAGAATGTGTATCTCACATAAGAAAAGTTGCATCCGGTTTAAAAATCGCCTGGATGACCCCAATATATATACATTTCCACATTGGTTTGACTAGCCACTTAGGAGAAGGGGTATCTTTGCCTAATTTGGCGGGATGATGGGGTTAAACCATCTGAACCTGTTGTTGGGGTCATACTTGGCCTTGAGTTTGCGAAGTTTCTGTAGACGCCATGGTTCCTGGCCGTATATCATCTCACGAGACTCATCACCAGCGGCAAAGTTGACGTAGGCGGTCGGACGACGATTGGGCTGGCCTTGATTCCACATATCGCGAGATGCATAAGCCCATTGCCGAGCAGCATCTTCCTTTCCTTCTGGCACTGCTGTTATGAAGTATGCTGGGAGGTATTCGTCACGATGCGGATACGCCGTCGAGGCAGCATCGATCGCTTGACTTCCAATGCTAGAGAAGCCTTCGTAGTAGAGACGAGCGTTGGCACCAAAGTCAGGCTGTAAGGCCACATTTTTGTTGAAGAGGTTGTACAGAGCACGCTGGGTTGTGACATTGTATGTCTGCATATTGGCACTGGCGCCGATATATCGTTGGGAGGAGCAAGAGGCACTAGCAGAGTCGGTTTCCTGGACTACAAGTAGCTCTGGATACGATACATCGCCCTGCTGGTTCACAATAGCTGGGATCTTGTTGAAAGCAGCGAGGTACCTTTCGGCCTCCTTGCCAGAACCGTCATATGCAAAGGTCCAGGAAATCACAGCCTGTGCGTAAAGTTAGTTGAAGGAGCACTTCACTCTAGTTCAGATGCCCACTTACCTCGGTCGTGCTGACGCTCGAGTTGATAGAGATCTGGCCAAGGCTTGCTCCCATCTTAGCAGGCAGCTTCCCCACTCCCTGGAGGTCGTTTAGAGCCTTGAAAACAGCTTCAAGCTTGTCCTGGCGCCAAACGTAAGAGTGGTAATGCCAAGTAGGCCCGTTCACAGGATAAATCTTGATCTTGAACTGTGTCACTATACCGAAATTGTGACCAGCACCTCGCATAGCCCAGAAGAGGTCACTGTGGCTATTCTCGTTTACCGTGACCGTTGAACCGTCGGCTAGTACGACGTTCATGCTGATAATGTTATCGCTCACAAGTCCATATTGCCCTTGCAGTCGTCCAAGGCCACCGCCGAGAGACAGCCCTCCAAAACCGACACAGCCATTGGCTCCGAGCACTAACAGTATGACATGTTAACAACTTCAATATCAAAGCGTTAAGTAGTCTTAAAAAGGATATTTGGGTAGTCTTACCTGCAGTGTATCCCTGAGGAAGGAGCGTGTTCAGGATTTTGTCTGCGTAAGCACCACCTTGAAGAATTGCTGTCTTCTTCCCAGGCTGAATAGTGACATCGCTCAACTGCGACAGATTTATCTCGACTCCTCCTTTCATCTTCGCTATGGTCGTGGTCATACCATGACCTCGGGAATATGCGAGATATTCGATGCTGTTCTCGTTACAATACTTGACCTAAAACAGTGGGTGTTAGTAAAGAGCTTGAGTCAACATTAGCCCAAAAGGGGCCCTGGTTCACATACAACTTTCGCGACGTCTGACTCCTGTCCCACCTGTATCACGGCCTGGATATTTGGCTTGGAATAATAGTTCCATCTGTCAGTCGCGTCGGCCCAGGCATCACTTGATGATCCGAAGATCAAAGAAGTATTGGATATTATACTGCCAAGATCCTTCCGGACTTGGTCAGAAGTGATATCAGCGGGGGTAATGAGGTCTCGCTGGAAATAACGAGGAATAGGAGACCCAATGGGCTTGCTAGAGGCAGAGGCAAGGAAAAATGCGAGGACGCAGCCTGAAAGGCGCAAAAGGGTGTTCATGATTGCTATAGCCCCTATGGAGGTAGTGGGTGGCTCTCTTAGTGTTCACAATGATCCGCAAAGGAATCAGTTCCTCAACGGCGAGATCATCCTGTCTAATATACACGCAAAAAGATCGATTTGAAGGATCACCGGCGCCACCCGAATCCATCAACAACGTGGTGGTGCCAGGTAGCTGGACATCGAAAGTAATCCCAACCCAACGGACCGAGCAATCTCATGAGGCTAGCGCCAATAATCCTCAGCCCCAGTAAGCTAATAATAGAGACCAGGGCTTCAGCTGAACATCTCCCGAGACGCCGGTCTCGTGGCCTATTCGTCTCACGACATGTGGTGCGAGTATACAATAGGTCTTGTGTGGCAGATCCTGTAAGCCTCATATTTCGTAGCATGAACGCGTGGTCCTCGCGATAATTGACTGTCGCATGGATAGGGGCTGATTTGGAATGAGCCGGTGGATTATTAGTGACTCAATCAGGATATTCGATGCCATGCCTAAATGTGGCGTTCTAATACGGCATCTATTCACAATTAGCTTTTCTGAAGGATTCTTATTGATTGCGAGAGGTCAAAGGATTGAATGGGTCAAACCTCCGGGAGATTCGGGTGTTGCACCAACGGTAGTGTAGCTCTGCTGCTGAGTTTCGTAGAGCGAAGTTTAGTTTATAGGGGCTACCGTATCTGACAAGGGTTTTGGGGATTACCTCAGCAACTCTACAAATAGAACAATAACTCCAGGATAGCGATCGATTCTGTTTATACAGTTTTGTATAAAATAATGCCCTAGTCGTCGCTTTGGCGGGGTAATAGAGATGACTAACCGAAATGCACCCGCCGTGGGCCTCGTATCTTCCTGTCCGACGGTTGTTTTTCGGACATGAATGTAATAGTCAATGTTTCGACATCAGATGTTTTCACAACCTAGCTAACCTAACTGGGTACCTTTGACCTCCTTTCAATACTTTCTCCCGATGTATTTCGAGGCGACCCGAAAGTAGCGAGCGAACATGCAAATAAGAATGTCCACTTATGTCAGCTTACGCGACACATCCCTAGCCGGCATGGCGTTATGCATGGATTACACCGCAACCGAGAATCCCTGCTCTTTTGAGGCGTGAATCTATAATCTAGAAAACGTATCGGTACAATGATGAATGTGGGCTACGCCACAAGGGTGTCGTACTTCGTACGGTCAAACTCTCTATACCCCATCGTTCTGCATGGTCCTAATGTGGCATCCCTGCCCATGTCAATGTTCTAGAGCTTTTCACAAAGACTACCCAGCTCTGAAGCAATCTGTAGATATACAACTATTGAACTCAAGACGCACTGTTTGCGATTCAGGTGCTTCAACAAGTAACGAAACATGATTGTTCAACATGCTAAAAGTCGTAGAAAGCCCATCGTAGTCTTGACCTTGAATTACCTCCATACGTGATACGTAGAATAGCCGTAGAGGTTGTATTTACTATAACCCCTGATCAAAACCTTCTACTTGTCAATATGGTCGCAAGGTGGCAACTGTGGCTCTCACCACGCCCCTTGAAACGTACGCCTATATCATCCGAACCTCGTATTGTCCAAGCCCATGATGCCGCATTGTTCGAGTTCTTAACAGAGGATGACGGTCGTTGGGTTGTTAAGGAAACACACCACTTTAATAACAAAGTGGTCAGAGATGGCCGCTCCGGTCCCCCGTTGTAAGCTCTTTCTAGGCCATGAAATCCTTTGCAATCTAATACCTGGGACATGATCTAATATTATCTTATAGGCACATACATTGGCTCCAGACGGAGTATTTCAAAGTTGAGAAAGGGGTAATCGGAATCCATAAGAATGGGAAGGAGATTGCAGCTACTAAGGATGACGGAATCCTAGAGATTCCTGCCGGAACGAGGTGAGTCATCGTGAACAGTATCTCCTAATTGCTACCAGGCTTGACCAAGCAAGGTGAGTTGACATTTGCTACAGGCATCGATTCTGGGCTCATTCCTCTACCACGGAAGACCTCGTGTTCAAGGTTTGGGCCGAGCCCCAGGACATTGACCATAGCTTCGACGAGAACTTCCTTCGGAACTTTACTGGATATCAACGAGACTGCCAAATGCAGGGTATCAAGCCATCTCCATTCCAGCTCATATTGCTTAGTTACAATAGTGCAACAATGGGCACTCCGCCATTCTGGATGCCCCTTTGGCTTCTTAAAAGCGTCAATTATATCCTAGCATTTTGGATTGCAAAAGCATTGCTCGGGTGGGTGAAAAGATTTCAGCCTCTGAGATATAATTACGGTATTACTATCTACTAACTATGCTATAGCTACCAGGAGAGTTATCCGGAATACACGCGACCGACTAAGACCCCGGCGCAAGACTGAGAAGGTGGCATCAGTATAGTGAATTTTCTGCCGTATAATGACTGTGTTTTAGTTAGTACCCCTGCAACTCTGAATGAGAATGTGCTCTTTTCCGTCAACAAAGTGCCAGTTGGTTGAAAAATTGGTCGGCCCTGCGTATAGAGAAAGTGATTCATGTTGAGTGGCAGTGTGAATGAATTAAGTCCTGTAGTGATACGAAGTACACCTCGTTCGCCACTGCCAGCGCCCCTAAGTCTTAGCCCCTTAATGTTCATAAAGTAATATGTAAGCGCACAACGATGAATGGGCATGGAGGTTTATAGCCACAGTAGTCAATGGAAATTACCGAACACTAGCTATTTACTGGCTTCCTTGATACACTCCTTGACGTTAGCAAATGAAAGTTCATCCAAAGTCTCTTCCCACAACTGCTCGCAAAGTTTCATTCCCTCTGGTTGGTATATCATGGCAGCTTTTCTAGTGATTGTCAGTAACAAGCTACTATAGTCTCTGTTGGGAACAGGTGAAACTTACGGTCTGATTTCTCCGTCTTCAACGTACTGGCCGTGTACCTCTGTGCCAAAGTTGCAAGCAGCATGAACAATTGTGCGAGCACCGAGAGGCACTGGCTTGCCGATCAATCGGGTGATGATTGCCACAACATAACCCAGAAACTGGCCAGCGCCTTCACGCTGAAGCTCAGTTCCATAGCAAAAACCGGGATTGGAGGCGTTGATTGTGACGATTGATGACGACACATGTTTGCTCAGCATCGTGACAAACATCTGTCCCAGCAGCTTTGTTGTTCCGTATCGCTCTTGCATGTTCCATTTCTCGGCTTTCAGCTTGAAAGATGATAGAATCGGCCCACTCGGTTTGAAGTGCACCCAGGCTGCAGTATCTGAGGAGACGAGGACCATCCGAGCAGGGAGCATCTGCGCCTTCTTCTTCAGCGTGGGTAACAGTAGGCACATCAATAGGACGTTTGAGAGGTAGTTGACTTGAACCGCTTCTTCAAAGCCAGTCGAGGAGTTGAACGACTCCGTCACCTTGTATAGACCGGCGTTCAAGATGACGATATCTAGATGGTCTAGTGTTTTTGCCCGGTGTGAGAATTCAAGGATGGATGAATATGAAGCCAAATCTAAGCTCCAGATTTCAATATCGTGAGCCCTATCTCGTCCGGCAGAGAGCTCCTTGCGAGCAGTCTCCCCTTTTGCAACATCGCGTACAGCAAGGATGACTTTGCTCAACCCCAGATCTAGGAGTTGGCGCACAGCCTCTAATCCAATACCTGTATTGGAACCCGTTACTATAGCCGTCTTGCCAGCTAAATCTACATCGTTCTTAGTAATAACCGGCGTCTTCCCAAAGAACTGGCGATAAAAGTATTGAGATATCGTCGCTTCCTTTTCCGGAGTGATCTTAAATAGAGAAGTGTCTGCCATCTTTAATCTGCTGCTTCGATGACCACCACATTAAATTGTCCTAACAATAGTTACATTTAGCTACTAAGCTGGGCGTAAAGGACGGGATACCCCTTTATATACATAGGTGTCCATTGCAGTTCTCGACCGCCACATACATTATCTTCTCATCGGTTTGTTCAGTGACGACTTGCAAGATTCCTAGCGCAAGACTCTAAATCGTAAAATTTAAAAATGAAGCCATCAATTGTAGAAAAGAAGGACTCACCATGTTGGCTTGCTAATACTGCGAAACCATGGGGAAAGCGTCAAGGCCAAAGGGACTCGAACGACCAAATTCTCACATACAGTATGAAATTCCTTCAAAGATCACATTAAAGTTCATGTACATTCTCGTACGCTGATGCGGGGGTCTTTTGCCCAGACTTTGCAAGTGGATGCATGTGATCCGACACTGATGTTGCAGTGCATCGGTAGGAATTGTCCGGGACATGCAGGATAGATGCGCTATGGTGTAAGGCGAGCCGCACAGCGAAAAGCATCAATCTTGGCGCGCCCCCAAGAATATTTGCTGCAGGTGAGACCGTTCGTTATCTAAGCGGACTTCAACTTACGACGCGCACAGACTGCAATCATCGTTCTTTACATGCAGTGAAACAAGTGTGTCTGATAGCGCCGAAAATTTATTCAACATAATTGAATAAAACTTTTAGTCTCATACCTAGTACACAATGCCATAATGTCACAGTATCCAGTATAGTTATGTAGCGTCGCATACAATGGGGTTGTCTGTTTGGAAACCGTTTGGGTGCGCAGGATGAGAAAATAGCTATATATCTTAATACCACTGTTTTCCGCCGGGTATTTTCAATACGTCGAAGTGAATGCTTAGGTATTTCTCAACTCTCGTCACGATAAACTCGCTACTTGAATCCATTTACAAGTATGGCCTGGATAAGTAGTTTCGTTTCTTCACAATGGAACCGGCTCCTCCTTCTGAGTTCGGCTGCCTTTGGGGATACTGCTTTCTGGACCTATCCACAGAGTGCTGTTAATCATCCTCATTTCAACTTTGAAGAGTTCCTTACCCATCCTGCTCACTTATGGTCTGCCAATACAACCATATCATTTCCCGGCTCACCTAATTTCGACGATGCAACAGCTCGTTGGACGATATTTAGCCCTCCAACCTACAATGCTGCCATCCGCCCTGGATCTGAGGCTGATATAGCCAGAGTTGTGAGTAGAAAATAGCGACTATAAAAATAAGATGCATAAAATAATTGTTATTCCTAACAAACTGCTGCAGGTCAAACTTGCTTCATTATATAAGTTCCCGTTTCTCACTAGAGGCGCGGGTCATGGGTATAGTATCACTCTTTCGGACTTTCAAAATGGTTTAGCTCTGGATCTCAGTCAATGGAAGTCACTTGAAATCGACCAGACTGCAGAGACCGTGACGATTGGTCCGGGTGTCACAATCAGCGAGGTGTTTGATCCCTTGCACGAAGCTGGATTTCAGATTCGTAAGCCCAATGTGCACGAGACTCTGAAGTAAAATGATCTTGCTGACAATTCATGGGGTTCAATAGAAAGCGGCACGTGTGGATGTCCTAGTTTAGTTGGTGTCACACTTGGTGGTGGAGCTGGGCGATATCAAGTATGTGGTTGTCACTTTTAGTTGTCTTTGGCGTGAGCACGCTGCCAAATGAACGTTCAAGCCCAAGAATAGGCCTAATGTTAGATATAGGGTATCCATGGTCTGGTTATCGATGCTCTAGTTTCTGTTCGCATGGTCACAGCGGCAGGCGAGCTCATCGAGGTGTCAAGAGATTCTCATCCAGATTTATTCTGGGCTATTCGAGGCGCTGGCGCTAACTTCGGAGTCATCACATCAGCAACATACAAGGTGAATCGCCTTGTCAATCAAGGGAACTTCTTGCATGCAGACTTTTATTTTTCAGCGGAAAAGAGCTATGACTACTTCAAAATAATTGAAACTCTCAATGATAAATTTCCAGCCAACATAGCCACTATTGTACTTATCAACTACAATGCTTCTACAAATAGTGTAAGTTCTTTATCACCCTGAACCGAGGTTTGAAGCTAACATGTTTGTGTACTAGATACAAGTTGGGGGAAACTGGGTGTATTTTGGGCCCGAAAAAGAAGGAATGAAGGCATTGCAACCTGTGTTTGATCTCGGACCTATCTCATCCGTTGTCAGTGTTGTGCCATACAAGAAATTACTGGCTACAACTGGTGGTGGTTATGATACGTTGGTTTGTCAGGGTCACACGAACCGTGACCTCTACAGCCTTAATCAAAAGACATATTCTGCGTCAGGCTGGCAAAAGGGATTTGAAAAAATGGCCAAGTTCTTCGAGGAACATCCTGGCGGCCGGAACAGCGCACTCGTTTTTGAGGTCTTCCCCAATCAAGCTACTCTTGCAGTGGCTTCGGACGAGACAGCATATCCATGGAGAGAAGCCAGAGGATATATGTAAGATTTTATTTCTTCCCTTTATCGAGCGATGTTGAAGTTGCGGAGACTAATACCAATACCCACGTTGACAGAATCGGTCACTTCATCTGGGCTGACGGAGATACTGCTACTGCGGCGGCCTCTAATAAAGTCGGCTTAGAACTTCGCGACGAGCTCCTCCTTACATCAGGGTACGACGAAGTCTCAGTCTTCGTCAACTATGCAAGGGGAGATGAAGGCCTAGAGAGCATTTATGGGAGAGACAAACTGCCCCGGTTGGTCGAGTTGAAGAAGACTTGGGATCCTAACAACATTTTTGCTTACAACAATTATCCACTACCATTGGAATATCCATCGAAACAGCGAGATGAACTTTAGAGCAGAGATTACAGTTATACTTTAGTGGCAAAATTTCGCTTGGAATAAGGCTGGTTTTGCTTTTAAACAAATCTTATCTTCTGGTAATACTGTTATGAATGGGTATTTATAGCACATAGTCCGAAATGAAGTTAGTAATATCTGCGTGAAGTCAATCAATATTCTCCCCTAACAGCAGCATGCTTCTGTCCTGATTCCTCTCCTCAACTCATCCATCTAGAATTCGATTGTTAGGTGGTTATCGGCTATGAAAGTAATATGCTCAACGAGAGGATCACTTTGCCGCATAGCTCTCGCTTCCCTGGGACAATCCTTAAGACCGACTAACATCGGAGTTATGTATCGGAATTTTTGAAAATCCCCCTTCCGCGGACAGTTAAGCTAAGTTAATATAGGCTAGCTAGACATCTCGCTTAGTCAACCGTTTGCCGATTCAACAGCCGGTGTAAGCACGAGATGGCGTGCAGTAGGATCACGGGTGACGCGTCTGTCGCGTTGAGGCGAGGCACAGTCACCGCTAAAAGCGCCTATGGTACGCTATGATGCCGCCACCGACAGACAGCATGCAGTTGGTTGCCTAAGAGAGTATGCATGCTGCGAAAGTCGGAAAATACCGACGATACGTATTGTAGAAGCAAGAAGCACGTCCAGTTTGAAGCCAAGCCACCTGGGATCAGGATTGGTGGAACTCCGCGCTACTATTTGCCGCAGTTTTAGTTCCCGCTATCCTCCTCGTCTACATGCAGGCTAGGCACTATTGGTGGACTAAAGCTCCCTTGCCGCCTTGCCGACTTCCCACAGACCGTTTCCAAATCCGTTATTTTACATGTACACTGCTGCAACACGTGGAGTTGGCGCCAGCCCTATGTGGGCAGTGCCGATAGTTGGGCTCAGGGAACGCTGCTGTAGATGGCCCAGAATAGCCCTTGCAATGGTACGAGAGTGTAGGCACATGGGTCGAGGAACAGTCAGGCATGGTACGGGCAGAGTACAGGTACCTACACGCCCTACCCATGCATGGGGCGCAGATCCGAAGCCCGCTTCTGCCAAAGCCACTGTGTCCAGGGTCCATAGCAAGATGAATAGGTTTGCGACGATCTTGAACAATACGAAAACTCGGACCTTGCTCTGTCTCTATCTGGAACTCCACTATCTGTAAACGAGAAGCACAGCGGCGTTGCTGTGCCTCGACTTTACATATTTGAATTAGGCGCTATCCAGTTTAGGTGACAAGAGTTGAAATATTTAGGGGCTTGGTGAGTAAGACACTTCCGGCTTCGCAATACGTACACAAACACTATGGTGTTAAAATTATGTCATCAATGCGGAATTAGGTTCAACGTCATCTTCTGGTTTGGCTGTGAAATTGTTTAGTAGAGTTCTATATTCTAGGCAGCTTTCAAATCAATCATCATCTCTTCAACTCATGCAGGTACTATGTACTTATGTAGTCAAGGCCTACTATGTATAGCGGAATTTACACGCGTGGTGTTAGATGGTGGAGAATATTGTACTAGGTATTGTAGTTATTGCTAGATTTGCTGGAGTAAACCAATGCCTAGATAGCCTTACGGATCAACGTCGAAGACATTTTCCTCACCGTCCAATGGCTCGTAGTCTCTCCACTTCAGGCCCTCGGGTACCGTCTTCCATTGGTTATTTTCGTCAAGCAGATGCTGCAACTTGCCCCATTCTTCCCTGACGCGCGCCGCCCTGCTAGCACTTCTTGGCACAATTTTAGCAGGAAACGGCTGCGGGACTACAAACAAGCCATCGACCACATTGTTAACGTCCGGAAGCTCTTCTTTGCCCGTCTTCGCGTCGACCGCTGGTTTCAGATCAAATCCCCATAGCATCCGTGACATCCCGAGAAATAGAGAACGATCGGCAATGTGCATGCCTTGACACATTCGTCGCCCTGCGCCGAAAGTGAAATGGTCACGCTGCGTGGGGTCTGCGTTGAGTGCAGCCTGAATCGAGTTTTGGTTATCCCCCGCCCAGCGTGAAGGGTCATATTTTCTGGGATCAGGGTGCCTCTTGGGATCGTTGTGTATGGCCCTTAACTCATCACATCAGCAAATATACCTATAATGCCGGTAGGGACATGCCAACTTACCACACGTTAAACAAGACGGTTGCTCCTTTGGGAATTCGGTAGCCCTGATAGAAGTCGTCCTGTATGACGGCGTGCGGCACACCCAGGACAGCCGCTGGCATCCAACGTAAGCTCTCCTTCATGCATCCACGAATATACGGCAAGTCTGGAACATCGTTTAGGTCGGGAAGGCGATCGCCACAGACACGGTCTATCTCAGCCTGCGCCTTTTTTGCTACATCTGGGAAGAGAAGCATCGCCTCAACAAATCCTATCAGAATAGCAGAAGTTGTCTCAGAGCCTGCCTGGAGTAGAGACCCACTCATATAACTGGCAAGCTCGTCAGAGATGCCGGATTCCTTCTGAAAGCGCAGTAGATCAATGCAGCAACATGGCTTTGAATATGTGTAAGCTCATGAACTACAATATATGGTGCTGTTGAGTCACATTACCTTTGCATTACCACTATGAAGCTGCTTTCTTGCATTTAAGAAGTGTTTCATGAAGAGTGCTAGTTCCCTCTTGTGCACTTCTTTGCCTAACTTCCTGCTAGGCAACAGAAAGTCGGGCAATCGTCTCAGTATAGGAAACAGGTCTAAGAGAGCAGCAACCTATCATAGAGAGGGAAGTCAGATGTAGGTCATTCATAGATGAGGTAACTTACCTGAGTGCCTGCCAATTCTGAGAGTCGCTCAAAGTTCTATTGCTATTAATACCATGAAGCAATGATTGTGATAAGGGCGTTACTTACCTCAAACATCTCAATCAAGTTTGGATCATCACTGGTGGGAGTGCGATACCCAAAGGTCATTTGCGTAGTCAACGATGTTGTATAGCGGCGTATATGATTGATGAATTGGTCAGGGTCCTCGAGTAATCCCATCAGCATCGCTCGATTTTCAAGGTCCTGATATGGCACATAGCTACGAGCAACCACGATGTTGAGAACACCATGTGCGAGCTTACGGACCAGCCTCCAGGTATTTCCATATGGCTGAACAGAAACATTTAGCAATGATACCCATTATTAGAGACAGAATAACGAAGATGAGCAGAAATATGTGCGAATTTGAACCCCTCCTGTGGCATGTTTGAAGACAGCTGATCTATTTGCACCACATACCAGGAATAATGGACGCAAGTTACCGCTCACGATCTCCTGGCCCAAGTAGAACTCCGGTCGCGAAGAGTATATTGCACTTCGCTTATCCAATAGGTCCTTGACAGCTACATCAGATGAGAGCACTATAACGACCTTCGTTCCCAGTATAAGTGAGTATACTGGACCGTATTGCTCAGCCCATTTCTTGAATTGCAAATGGCCGTTACCTTTTGGCATTTGGTGAAGGTTGCCGATCAAAGGTAGAGTGGGTGGTCCAGGAGGATAGTCTTTGGGTCGCTGTCCAATCTTGCTAAGTCTCCAAAGTATTGCCACGCAGGCAGCAAAGCCCAATAACACAACTGCCAAAGGCATACTGGTAGTCTCATGGGTACTCATGGCTAGTTTGAGAAAGACTTAGTTTAGAGGGAGGTAATTCAAACTACACTGGAAGCATGGGCTACGCAAGATGTGAAATTTAGATATGGTGAACCTTCGAGATTGATTCTCGAAGGAGACGGAAACCGATATCAGGGCATCGTGGCAAACTGAAATGACGCCCTTTTTCGGCCAGACTCTATCGGATAGATGGATTGTCATTCAGAACTATCTCGATCATGGGGACAATAATTCCTCCGCGCTCGGACGTCTGTGTAGGACTCATATCGTACGAATTCATACTGTGGTCACTATCTTGAAGACGCATGCTCTCGTCGTATACCGGTATCCGATCTGCTGACTGCCTTTGAGTGCCTGCATCTGCCTTTGTCGATTTAACGAGGAGGTGTGTTGATAACGAGGGGTGAAACAAAAAACGTCGCGATTGTGTCACGGCATCTTTGGTAGGTTAGCTTTCATTTAGGAAGCTGACTGCTTTTGCGTTTTGCATATACGCACAGACCAGTACAGTTCAGCGGGCTCGGCTTGTCCAATGCCACATAAGCGCCCATCTCCACGGGGAGTTTTGACCGAGAGTATCTTCATGTACTGTTCTTTGTCGATTTCTCGCGAGAATGTAGCACTTTGTACCGCTGTGCGAATGCAAAATACCACAGACGTTGTTGATAAGCGCTCTGCAATGGCAAAGCCCTGCATGAGCGCCACTTACCTCATGTGGCAGCGTCGTGGTACGGTTGTCTTCATCATATCAGTTCTGGATCCTACATAGTACATCATGTATGGCAGGCTACCCCGCATGCATCGTCTCGTCTCGATGCATGTGCGGCATGCTAAGGCAGGCAACCGTGGCGGGAACTATAGCTCCTATCGCCTTCTTACTTGCAGTTTAGCCCAGAAGGCTCACATAATCATATGACTAATACATTGGACATCGCGCCATATGTGAGGAGTGATTGCAACGTTAGAGAGCCTTGCAATCAATACGATATCTCGTTCAGACGATCTAGACTCTAAACCTACAATCTTGAGCCCTGGCTATTTTCATGCTTTGATAAAGTGCATCTCTTATCTTTCTAAAGGGTAGTTCTATGACTGTAGTCCTTGGCCAGTCATACGCATGATGTCTAGGAACCAGAAGTTTGCTCTAGTGACTGGGTAGTGTTACTCTCTCAGCGTATACTTTTCTAATTCCCTACTGACACGAGTACCTAGGTGTGGTGAAGGAGGGATTGGTGAAGCTCTCGTAAAGGAATACACCAGTCGTGGTGTCCATGCCATTGCCACTGTACTTCCTACCGAGAGTCATGCCCACCTGACAGAAGCTGGCATCACATGGTTTCCATTGGATGTGACAGTCGAGAAATCTGTCGTCGACCTCAAGAAAAATATTATGGCTGTTGCAGGTGAACAGTTAGACATTCTGGTGAACAATGCGTCAGTGTTTTCTTGATTTCCTTGTTTGTATTTATCATTCGTTTCGCTAATAAGGTAAACAGGGGAATATGTAACATATTTCTATTTTCCATTGATTCTATATGACTCCTAACGCTGAATGCTAGGTTATACTATGACTGCCATTGATACAGACGTAGAGGCCGTGAAGAAAATGTTCAACGTCAACGTGCTTGGTCCAATGCAACTGGTGCATCACTTCCACGACATGATAATCAAAGCCCATGGGACTATCGTGAACATTGGTTCAATTGGAGGAGTCGTTCCATATATGTATGGGTGTACGATTAATCTTTTTACGGTATTCCATATCTGGAACATTGCAATGAAGACGCTAACCAGCCTCAAGCGTCTTATAACGCCTCTAAAGCAGCTCTTCAGCATTGGTCCAATACACTGCGTTTGGAAATGTCTCCTTTCAAGTAAGTGAAAAATTGGACTCTCTTACAGGGTTTGAAACTAATTTACTCTTTCTCTTAGCGTGAAAGTTATCACAGTGAGTTTATATACGCAGAATTCTGTCATGGCAGCCAGATTCTTTCTAATTGTGTCGGGCGCAGGTCATATCGGGGGAAGTCAATACAAACATCCTCAGAAATGATGTCCATAGAGAATTGCCTCAAGGTTTGCCTACCCACAATGTCTACCATTGACTATTACTGATAACTATTCAGGGTCGTATTATTCTCCTCTTGCGGAGGACTTTAAGAAACACGTGAAGAGAACACCAAGTAATTGTCTCCATAGCAACTGAAAAAAGCGAGGACTAGAACTAATATGATGCTTATAGATGGAACTAGTAGGTTTGAATACGCTGCGAATGTCGTGGCTCAGAGTTTGAAATCCTCGCCAAGTGCCTGGTTTTGGTACGGAAGCTCCACGGGCATTATACGCTTCTTCGATACCTTTGGCTGGCGCACATTCTTTGTATGTGATCAATAATATTTTAGTTTATATGTCTTTCCCCGCTTACGGTTGACTTCTAGGATTCATTTTTCTACCGAGATTTTAACTTGGAGAAGCTTAAGAAAGCGCACGTCGCCAGTATGAATAAGAATATTTGAATAGAAGGTTTCATAGTCATAATGAGAACGCTATTGATATTGGGCGAGCCTTCCAGCATCTAAACATTCTGCACTATTTACCTACTACGTGAAGTTGAATTAATGCACAAACAATAAACAATAACACTGGTGAAATTGAATCTAGAAGCATATAAACAACTGTCTCGCGTTAATTTGTTGGTAGACAATGGTATATTGACTGATATTCTGCGTAGTAATATATATAACAACTGCCATCCTTTGACCTGCTTCGGATCATTAGTTAGTATCTGCAAGTCACAGAAAACTTGTGTATCAGATAGAAAGGAGAGTGGAGTATTGAAATAACTAAGACGTCAAAATCAAATCTAGAGGACTAGAGATTTGCTGCCTTCCGCAAGTTTGGACTGTTTACGATTTTGGTGTTTTTTATCACAGAGTTGAAAACACTTGAATTGATTGAAGTATTTGAGATCATCAAATTTATGTATCTATCTGAAGTCCCCAAAGGAAGAGACTACACTAATAGCATAATATATGGTGGTAGTCTAACGTCCCTCATAGTATGGCTGTAGCTCATTGAGTTCCTGACCAAGGGCGACACCGTTGATGACAACAGGCTTGCAATCGAGCAAGATAAAAAGCATGCGGCCCGGCATGGTTCCATTGCCAGTAATGTTGTGCCACTGGTGAGCAGAGGAGCGGTTAACGCTAACATCGCCCTGCCGCATTATCCGTTCCTCTCCGGAATCAAGAATCAGCTTGAACTCTCCCTCAAGTACAACGCCGTAGTCCAGCGAAACAGCCCGGTGCATTGGAGAAAGAACGTTAGGGCCAAAATCAATCATCCTGGCCACAGAGCCGTTGTGAACGTGCAAGCCCGGCTAGTGCACGGAGGTTAGCGTGAATTTTGCGTGCCGACCTAGCTGTACATACCTCGTTCTCCTTTGCATACTTGAGATCGGCATCATCGTTCAAATCAGCGGGAGTCTGATTGGTCGAGTATATAATGTTTCCAATGGCTTGTTTGTCGCCAATTATGCGATGGTGGTCACCGTCATCAGTGCTGAGGAAGATCCCTTTACCCTCGGCATTATGACCAGTAATGTGGCGCACAGTTCGACGAAGTCCAGGGGCAGGGAAGGTCGAGACATAGCCAGCACTTGTGAGCAGAAGCTCTGAAGCGGCGTGTTGTACTTGTTGTTGCTCGGCCATGGTGTGTATGAGTTGAAGATGTCTTTGCTATCTGAGATCGGAACTTCAGCTGAACTCAGGAGGATTTCTTTGCATATATTATCAGATTCTCCACGATTGGGATTGGAATAAGTTTCGATAAGATTGCTTCCATTTAAGTTGTGTTATATTGTCTACGCCATGCGAGTGCATTTACGAGAACGTATCACTGAGTCCGACTCGGTGTCAGAATCATGCCGCATACCAAACACGCCCCTCAGTCACGTAGCATTCAATGGCGGGGAGAATACAGTCACATCACACATGTATCGTGCCTGCAGTAAGGTACCAATGAGTATGGTCTTTTGTTTAACGATCCTTCACTACAACACAGGCGCTTTGCTAGCATCGGATGATACGATAAACTACCCCGATACTCTTTGATGCAAGCAAGCAGCCAGGAGAATGATCTTTTCTAAACATGGCAGGTAAGAGTAGTTCCACCGTCAACAATGAAGCCGCAGCCGGTCACATAGCTCGATCTAGGGCTGCACAAAAAGATCGCGGTGTCAGCCACCTCCTCGGCAGTAGCGATACGGCCCAGGGGTACAAGCGCCTTGACGTAGGTGTCTATATCTACACCGCCATCTCTAGCTCTCTGCACCATGGGAGTGTCGGCCCAGGAGGGGCAGAGACAGTTGACTCTGATGCCGTGGGCTGCATTGTCAAGAGCTGCATGAGATTGGCCGCGGTTAGCTTCACGTAGAACTGGTTGGATGATGCTAACCGTGTTGTTACACAGACGATAATCGGGAGGAATCTCCGCATGCAAGACAAGTATACTAGGGGTTTGGCTCACCCGCATTCTTAGTCAGACCTAGCACGGCGTGCTTAGCCGTGGTATACTGCACCATGGAGGGCGTGGCCACAAAAGAGGATCCGGAGCCCAGGATAACAATAGATCCACGACAAGAGCCGCGGCCGGAATCCTTGGATCCAATCAGTTTGGGCTCCTGAACCCGCATGGTTGCCGACATGATGCGAGTCAGCAGGAATGTCCCATCGACATGGATCTTGAGAAAACGGCTGAACTCGGTATAGTCCGCCGTTGAAATGTCGCGCGGGGTCTCCACCCCAATCTAAGATCAAAATGAAGCGCCTGCGTTAGCAGTGGCGTAAGGACAAAACGCGTCGTGTCAGGGGTTCATGTTCGTTTAGGGGATATCTTCTCTTACCCCCGCGCAGTTGATGCAGTAGTCGATTCTTCCAAATAGCTTCACCGTGTGCTCAACTGCATGCTGCACGGATGTCTCTTGGGTTACATCAAGCTGGATAGTCTCAACAACGAAGTTCGGTGAGCTTGCGACTGCGTTGCATTCAGTGGCAACTGCTCGCGCCGCATCGATGTTCAAGTCCGCCACAAGCACGCCGGCGGCACCGTCCTTTGCCAGGCCTAGAGCGCACGCTCTTCCGATGCCACTTCCTGTGAGTCGGACCCGTTAGTATCTCATACGATGCAAAGCAAATACTCGATTGGTTCACAGGCGAACAGGTGTCCATGCGTCAGATTCCTGCTTACCTCCCCCTGCAATGAATGCGTATCCAGTGATGTCCATCTTGGTAGTAGGGTTTATTGTAATATGGAGGCACAGTTTACCCGTCTGAAATAGATTAGGGTAATGTGAGACAACAAAACGGATTGCAGCTAATTCTGATCAGAGGAAGGAGGAAGATGGGTGAGCTGCATCATGAACAACAGAACCAATGGAGGTGAGGCACATTAATATACTCATTTTTGGTGATTGATTTGCATGACTCTGTGAGAAAAAAACAGACTCTATATTATTCTTATCCACTCCGATGGGTATAAAAACTGCTGGAAGTTACATACAAGTTAGTCTCCAACTAGGTAATACAGTAAAAGACGTATCAACAGGATTCACATTCAAACATCTTACTCGTATATGCAGATATCTAACTGTGATTTTTATTTCTCTTGATGATTCGTTCTCCGCATTGGTTTTAGCTTCTGCGTGCTCAATGTCAACCATATACAGGCGTCGTAAGTACTTCCTTATCATGTGAAAGTATTTCAAGTTAAACTGAATTGTATCACTGCATGGAGCTTAATCTCTTCCCTCGCTCGGATCGTTCTCTCGGCATCCATGTCGTGTCTCTGTAACACTAGCCACATCGTAGTCATTTGACTAGATTAGGAGGGTGGAGTATGACAAGAATTGATCCCGCGCAGGAAGAGCCTTGCTGATCACATGCCATGCATCTCAAAGAATCTAGAGCCATTACAGTGCGGCCATCGATAATGTTGAGAGATCACCGTGCTTAGGTCCACAGATACGTAACGTCGCAGCTCGGTCTATCGCATTTGTGAATTTCCACTGTTGTATCTGAGACCCCTGGTCTTGTTGAACTGATGTATCTCCTTGTACCGGCAGTTCAATTATCTTAGTGCCGAAAAAAGATGGAAGTCTAAGTCCTGGTTACTGTTGACAATCGTATATATCAACGCCCTAGTGTCTTGTAAATACAGTAGAATTAAATATTTATCATCAAATATCAGCTTCCCTCTGGGACTTTGTGCAGCAAACTGTGAAGTTCCCAATTATTCAGTACACCATTGTCATTCAAAATGGCTGCCGTTATGCCTCCCTTAGTACAACCTCCTGAGCCCCTTCTTCACACAGAAGAGAAATCGGGTTTCACAGTCTTCGAGGTTCCCTATGCCAAAGAACCTCGAGAAAGCGAAGCATCTTCTTCAACCACATTTGTCGAAAAGGAAGTATGCATAGTTGGCATGGGTTTGTCTACCTAAAAGAATCTTCCTTATGATCATCTATCTTGATTGCTAACGACACTCACTTTAGCCTGCCGCCTCCCAGGCGGAATATCCTCACCATCAGATCTATGGGACTTCTTGCACAAGAAGAAGTCAGCACAATGTACTGTCCCAGCAGACAGATACAACATTGAAGGCTTCTACCATAAGGATGGCAGTAGAGCAGGAGTGATGAATGTCGATGGCGGATATTTTCTTAAGGAAGACGTCCGTCGGTTCGATAATTCATTTTTCGGAATTAATAACTTAGAAGCTTCATATATGGACCCCCAACAACGGAAGTTGCTTGAAGTGGTATTTGAATGCTTCGAAGATGCCGGCGTACGCAGACCCCTTTTTTCTTGTGTTCAAGTTGCCTAATAGAAGATCTCATACATATGACCAATATGGTTTGCATCGATGTGGAGCTTATAAAAAGAACTTTAGAACATATAACTAACTTTATAATTCAAGGTAACTCTGGAAGATATGTCTGGAACAAATACCGCCGTTTACGTTGGCAACTTCACAGTGGACTATCAGTCCATGCAGTCACGTGACCCGGATTACCTGCACCGGTATGCCGCGACTGGAGGAGGAACATCAATTATGTCGAACCGTATTAGTCATGTATTCAATCTCCAAGGACCAAGGTGAGGAACAGGCAACCATGGTATCCATGCCCTTGCGCTACGCTGCTGACCGCATCCAGTTTAACCCTAGACACTGCTTGCTCATCATCAATATACGCTCTTCATCATGCCGTTAATGCGATCAAGAATGGCGACTGCGATGGGGCTATTGTCGCTGGCGCAAACTTAATAACATCACCAGAACAGCATCTGGGAACGGCAAAGGGGGGCTTTCTATCACCTACTTCAGCCTGTCACACCTTTGACACGTCCGCCGACGGCTACGCACGTGCAGAAGGTGTAAACGCCATATACATCAGACGGTTATCGTCGGCGATAACAGACAAAAACACAATCCACGCAGTCATCCGCGGAACAGCTATCAATTCGTTAGTATTCTCACATACTTTTACACTAGGGGAAGAATTGAATAATAACAATTAGCGTTGTATGTCAATAGAAATGGAAAGACACCTGGTATAACACTGCCAAGTGCAACGATGCAGGAAGTAGTGGTGAGGAGAGCATATGAAAATGCCGGCCTTGAATTTGCGGATACCGACTACATCGAGTGCCACGGAACTGGCACCGCGGTCGGGGACCCTATTGAAGTCGATGCATTGGCGAGCTGCTTCGCAGCGCGTCCTGGAGAAGCGCTGAAGATAGGATCGGTTCGGACAACCCACCCCTGATATTGAATAATAATTGCTGTACTAACTCGGACAAAAGGTGAAAACGAACCTGGGTCACAGTGAAGCCGCCAGTGGCCTAACATCAATCCTAAAGGTTGCATTGGCGTTTAAGCATGGTTTGATTCCACCCACCTATGGAGTAAAGAACCTAAACCCTAAGTGTAAGTTGCAACTCTTACAATGAAGGAATCTCCTATTCCATTTTGGTAACTCCTCATGCTCACATATACGCGTCATAGTAAAGCTTGAGTCGCGCAATATGAAGGTATTGAACGAATCAGAGCCCTGGCCTCGTTCGCTTCAACGAGCAAGCATCAACTCATTTGGATACGGTGGTGCTAATGGCCACGTTATCCTCGAGTCCGTAGAAAGCTACCTCAACGAAGCACCGCAGCAAGCAATGACAACACCCAATGGACACAGTGCAAACGGTGACGCACACTTGATCAATGGTCAGGGGTCTAGTCGTACCTTCGTGCTGCCTTTCTCTGCTTCTTCGACCACGTCGCTTGATACTCGTCGCCAGCAAGTCTGCGATTTAGTCGAGAGACCCGAAGTAGCGGAGAAGAATGGCCTGGAATCACTGGCGATTGCTCTGGGCAAACGTGGAGACCTTAGGCTGCGCGGCTTTGTTCTAGCTGCTGATGAGCCGAAGTCTACGCTGATTGAAGCAGCTGATGGAGAACAGGCACCGGCAGGTGTACAGCCGCTGCCGTTTGCCTTTGTATTTACGGGCCAAGGCGCGCAATACGCAGGTATGGCGAAAGAGCTTCTTGAGCACAATCTGGGCTTCCTCGCAAGTATACGCGAGCTCGATGGGTTCTTGCAAGCATTGCCGCCAAAATACGCGCCGGATTGGACACTAGAGCAAGCCATACTCGATCCACCCGAGACGAGCAAGGTGAATGAGGTAACTCGCAGCCAACCCCTCTGCACCGCTATTCAGATTGCTCTAGTCCAGCTCTTGCGTCGCTGGGGAGTGAATCCAACAGCCGTGATTGGTCATTCATCCGGCGAGATCGCAGCTGCCTATGCCGCAGGCTTACTCACAGAGGCCCAGGCCATACTAGCAGCCTACTTCCGCGGCTACGTCGTCGGACAGATGAAAGCTCAAGGTGCTATGCTCGCAGCTGGCGTCTCTGCCGCCGACGCCAACAGCTTGATCCAGGACCTTGGACTAGATCAAGTGCGCGTTGCGTGTGTCAATGCTCCTGATAATGTCACTCTGAGTGGCTCTGTGCAAAGCATACAGGCACTAAAGGTCGAGCTGGAGAAACAAAGCAAGTTTGCGCGCGGGTTGCAAACGGGCAACCGAGCTTACCACTCACACATGATGGTCGAGGTGGGCAACTTGTATGAGCAGCTGGTTGCACCATACTTTAGTGGTAACAAGGATAGGAGCGGGGTGTCAGGAAGTGCATGCAAGATGTACTCCACTGTGGGCAACTCCCCTGAAGACCTTCACGTCGAGATCGTCGACAGTCTCACCAATATGCCTTCCTATTTCCGCCAGAATCTTGAGCAACCAGTACAATTCAGCGCGGTACTAGCGAAGATGATTTCTAGCGAGAAGTTCCATTTGATCGAAATTGGACCTCATTCGGCTCTCAAAGGTCCTTCACAGCAGATCCGAACCGCCGCCAAGCGTGACAAAGCTTCTACCCCCTATTCTCCAACATTGGTTCGTAAAGAAGACGCCGACCTCTGTCTCAAAAAACTAGCCGGCACGCTGTTCACGCACGGCCACACGCTTGATTGGGAAGCCGTAAATGGCCTTTCACATGCGTCAATGGGACATCAGAGCGCGGTAGATCTCCCGCCATATCCCTGGGATTACTCGAAAGAGCTGCCATGGCATGAGCCGCGCGCTAGTGTTGATATCCGGAACCGGAGACATATCCGCCACGAGCTCCTCGGCACGCAGACGGCCGCCGGCAGCGGCATCGACTGGAGCTGGCGCAATATTGTGCAGCTCTCGGAGATGCCGTGGCTAGCAGATCACAAACTCGATCAACAAGTAGTCCTTCCCGGCTCCGCTTACATGGCAATGGCAGTCGAGGCTCTCACGCAAGTTCTTGATCTCAAGGACAAGTTGGTCGCGGGAGGTCAAGCCATGACATTTGAGGGCCGCAGCATCAACATTAGCGCGCCATTCTCTGTACGCGACGAAAACGATGCCCAGTCTGAACACACCGAGTTACACACAACCATGTGCCGGCGCAAGATTTCGACAGCAAACTCGTCAACTGACTGGTTCGAGTTTTCCGTGTCTTCGTGGGTTTCTGGTCACACGACGCTCCACTGCACAGGTAGTATCCGTGTAGTTGAGTCGAGCCTGCCTCAGAAAAAGGGCGAGTCTCCTAAGCGAGGCGTCTTAATCGCAGGGGAAGGCTACGAGGCTTGGTCAATGGGCCGCTGGTATGACAAGTCGCGAGAGGAAGGTCTGAATTTTGGACCTCATTTCCGGTCGTTAACGAGCCTACACACAGATGGTAATCGTGTATGCGCCGATGCTACGGCGACCACGCATCTGCAACCACCCAGCGCGAAATCAGCGGGTACATACTATGCGGTCCATCCCATTACGCTCGACGCTTGCTTCCAAGCTGCCATCATGGGTGGCACTGCCGGAAACCTCAGCACTCTTCGAGCCTTTGTTCCTGTCTTCATGGCTGAATGCCGCGTCGATATACCATCTCGTAACATTCAGGACGGGCTTTCGGATAACGAGTGCACAATCCACACCCATGTAGAGAAGACTGGCTTTTCTACACGCAAGGTAGATTGCACGCTTCGACTTCCAGACGGGACACCGGCGATAGATGTCAAAGGCTTGCGCATGTCGCTGTACACTGGGAAAGCCCCAGTGCAGCAGGCTGCCGGCGGCAACGTGAATACTTTGTTCCTCCAGCGCCACCCTTGCCTCAGCATTATCTGGAAGCCCGATGTGTCTCGCCTGGCCGTTAACGACCCTGAAGCTGAGGTCGCGCTGAAGAAGTACATCAACGACTTCGCGATTGGGCAATCTGTTGACATGAGGGATAGCGAGCGTCTAGTCTCTCTAGGCGCCCTACTAGATCTAGCCGGCCACGCAAACCCACGCATGCGCATCCTAGAGCTCGGTCAAGGTTGCCAATGCATATCTCAGCAATGCATGCCCGTCCTTGGCAAGGACACAGCATTCCCGCGCTGCAAAGTCTGGTCGCAGGGCCATCTGAGTGACGAGGATGAAACGAAGATCGTCATCGACGACGCCGATGACCAGAGCCCTCAGCCATTCGATGTTGTCATAGTTCACCACGTGAGTTTTCCGCTATGTTTATCATGCATATTACTAATCGGACGTTGCAGTTATCCATAGCGCAGAAAGTTTGGAGCCAAGCCCCTGAGCAAATCTCATCGCTAGTTTCCGACAAAGGAATATTTATATCTCGAAAAACTAACGAAGCTATTGCGAGCCTTAAATCCGCGGGTTTCTCGACGCTAGATGTTCCTGGCGACTTGTTGTTAGGCGTACGTGACCCCAAGGCATCGTCCGTGGTCAAAGGAAAAGACGTTGTCATATTGGTAAGTCAATAACAGATTGCTCCGTAAGTGATTTTGATGGCGATACTAATATGACAACTCTAGAAATCAAACAAGCCTTCATCTACCGTTGAGTTCTTTGCAAGCTCGTTGCAAACTTACTTGCAGCAAAAGGCCGGCGCCAAGACAACTCGCACAATAGCGCTATCGGAGCTTGACGAGATCGAGATGTCGGAACAGTTTGTGTGCATTTCCCTGCTGGAAATGGAGAGCGAGTTCCTTGCGACACTCAGTTCCAAGGACATGAATCGTCTCCGTAAGGTGACAGATGTCGTTACTAGGTCAGTCCACCAGGGATCCCCTCTAACTTTCTTCGTGTTCTGTCTTCCTTACTGACTCTCTCTCAACAGCCTACTCTGGCTCACAGGGGGAAACATGCTTTCAGCTCCCAAACCAGACCTCACATTATCCAGCGGCCTATCACGGGCGCTAATGCTGGAACAGCCATCCTTGCTATTCACCGTAGCTGATATCGGAGCCGCCGATCTCAACAACCCAGACATAATACAGTCAACGTGCGAGAACGTGTTGAGAGCGCTCGTGACAGGACAGCACGCGACAACCGACACCGAGTTTGTACAACTTGGGCCCCTGCTGCACATTAGTCGTTTCTATCCTGACTTGCCTATCAACTCGCTGTTTAGGCAACGGATGACACCGGAGGATGAGCTAATGAAGTCGGAGCCTCTGGGGTCAATCGGCCCAGCTAGGCTGTCTATCGGACAGGTCGGTATGACGGACACAATGCACTTCCAGCAGATCTCCGAAGCGGGTGCAGGGACCAAGCAGCCGCCGCCAGGCTTCGTCGACGTAGATCTAAAGGCCATCAGTCTGAACGCCAAGGATATTTACACGATGAGTGGCCGTGTTGAGACAAGGACAGCTACAACCGCGCTTGACTTCAGCGGTGTTGTGTCGGCGGTAGGACCTGATGTAACACACTTGAAGCCTGGCGACCGAGTAGCAGGGTTGGCGCCAAATTACTTCGGCACGACTGAGCGCGTCCCTGTTGCTGCTGTGCACAAGATGCTGCCAGAAGAGAGCTTTACAGTCCTGCCTACTCTCTTGACCGTCTACAGCACCGCGCTGTTCGCATTGCGGGATCGCGCGCACCTTCGCGCTGGCGAGTCTGTTCTGATCCACGCGGGCGCTGGCGCTTTCGGTCTTGCTGCTATCGCTATGGCGCGCCACATGGGTCTTACGGTTTATACTACTGTCGGATCGGCCTCGAAGAGAGAGTACCTTGTGAACGAAATGGGCGTACCAGATGCACATATCTTCAACTCGCGTGATGCTTCTTTCGTCGATGGGATCCAAGCTATCACCAATGGCAAAGGTGTTGACGTCGTTATTAACTCACTCGTAGGTGACTTGATGCATGCTTCCTGGTCTTGCATTGCCCCGTTCGGACGCTTTGTCGAGATCGGTAAAAGAGAGTTGGTCGATGCTGGTAAGCTAGATATGCACATGTTCTTGAAGAACGCTACTTTTACGGCATTCGATCTGTCGGAGTTCTTCTACGCCGAGGATCCGTATTACCAGAACATCTTCTACGGGTAAGTGATTGTGTACTCACCAACGAACCCTTGGTCGGAGATTAGCTAACCATTGCTGCTGTTTGATATTAGTCTTATTGCTGAAGTTATGGTTCTATACCGCGAGGGTAAGATCCAGCCTCCGCCGATCGCAACCTTCGACATTGCAGATATTGCGCAAGCATATCGTTACTTCAATAACAAGGACCGTATTGGAAAGGTGGTAGTATCGATGGAAAACTCGTCAAGCCGCGTGCCGGTATGTAGCCCATTGCCCCAATTGCGTAGCGTAGCCCAACAACTAATTACTCACTATGACTGAATAGGTTGCACCTTCGAAATACAGGACCATCTTGGACCCTGAGAAGTCATATCTGCTCATTGGCTGCCTCGGCGGTCTGGGCCGCAGTTTGAGTCGCTGGATGATGTCAAGGGGTGCCCGTAAGTTCGTCTTTACGGGCCGTTCAGGCTGTGACAAGCCTATGGCTAAGCAGTTGGTGTCTCGTCTGAGGAATGGAGGAGCGACTGTGTCGGTCGTGCGAGGTGATGTGTCAGACCCTGAACACATACGCGAAGCTGTCGCGGCATGCGAGGCTCTAGGCCCCATTGGTGGTGTGGTACAAGCAGCTATGGGGCTTCGTGAGGGCTTGTTTACGACAATGCCTAACAGCGCATGGCATACATCTATCCAGCCCAAGTGGAAGGGGACGTGGAACCTCCACAACGCCCTTGAAGGCCACGACGCAGCATTGGACTTCTTCCTCATGACCTCGTCACTGTCTGGAAGCTGCGGTACAGCGACTGAAAGCAACTACTGTACTGCTAACGGTTTCCTTGATGCATTTGCGCATTGGCGACGCTCACAAGGAAAGACCGCCATTTCTCTGGGACTAGGAATGATCTCAGAAGTCGGATATCTGCACGAAAATCCCGAAATCGAGGCTCTACTCCTACGTAAGGGCATCCAGCCTCTCAACGAAGACGAGCTACTGCAGGTGATCGACTTCGGTCTGACACCTCCCGCCAAATACCACGCCCATATCCTGACGGGTTTGGAAGCCCACGCTATCAGGCGGTTGATGGAGAAGGGCTTCGATGTCAATAACGGCATCATGGAGGATCCGCGCACATCTCTGCTAGCTGCCTCGCTGCTAGCTGAACAGGAGAGCAAAGAAGGCGCAAACCAAGCAGCAGGCCTCAATCAGCTCGCCGCCGCGGCCGAGTGGGTGAGGGACGTGCCACCGGTCGCACAAGCTATGTTCGCTGCTGAGGCAAGCGCGCCGACCATGTTAGAGGCCGTCACGCGTCTCGCCAAGAAGCGCTTTAGTAACCTCATCCTCATGCCTGCCGACCAGGTTGACGTACACCAACCCCTCCCCTCGTTCGGTGTCGACAGCATGCTCGCTGCCGAGTTTCGCACTTGGTTTTGGAACACTTTCAAGGTGGACGTACCCTACCTTGACATTGTCAGCCCGCAGAAGAACCTCACCAATCTTGCCGAGATGGTGGAAGAGAAGTTACTGGCAAGCTGGAAAGAATAGCCATCGAAGAGATCAGAAGTACAGTGTTAGCGGATAGAGAAGACTCCATGTAGTTTGGTGGTAGGATGATTGCTTGATATATGTATATAGCCGCAATGATTTCCTTTTGAAGATGTAACAGGGAATTGAAGTCACTCTTTGATTGTCCAGATCACTTCTCATTTTGTTTTGCCAGCTGTGACTAGGTACCTAGTCATAAGCCACAGCAGTGGCGAGGCTACCCCAACTATAGGTCACAGCATAGCCTATAATGATAGCGAGGTATCTCACTAAATCCGCTATAATTCTCCAAGATATAGTGATGTCCATCCTACTAAGCCGCCCTAGGTCAGGCTACCTAAGTTTACAACTTTGTTAGGCGCCCCGGGTACCTACAGCTAGGTAGCCCAGCATCGAACAAAGTGACGCGACACGATCGCGGTGGATGTGAATATGTCTGATGGACACAGAGCGACGTGGAACTACGCTAAGTTCAGCTATTTCTTCGAGTACAAGCCCAAACGATGTCAAGAAATATTTGCCAATTTCTTATTCAGGTTGTCCAGCTACGTCTGATGGTAGCTCCATTATAGGATCAACGTGATAAGAAGAATCATTCTGTTCTAGAATGTCGCGTATTCAGAGTTAAAAGGCATAATGTGATGTTGTTGGTAACACCCTAGACCTGACCTGACCTACTTACCTATGTCGTCGACACATGTGGTCCTCAAGCTTTGCTCTGTTCGTCTTGGACTGTACATATGACAGGCTAAGCGTGTTATAGGAGATAGATGAGCGTACAGCTATTGAGCATTTATTCATCACGATAATATATATGCGAATCAGATATATACAGAGCAATTGAGGGTACTGTTATTTGAGGCGACCGTCTCTCACTCCCATTTCTCCGAGCCCGACAATGCATAAACTTGGCGTACGTTTTCTTAGTGAAATCCCCAAGTTAAGAGATCAGAGATCGGGCGCTTAATCGGGATGACCAACCTGGGTCTAGGCGATAGTTCAGGAGGAGGTCAGTTCGGTATATTCGTAGCACGTTGAGTAGGCACGGGCAATGTCGCGGTGCCTGTATATATCGTACCAGGCCCTGTAGGTACTGGGTGACTGAGCGGTGGGATTGTTCCCGCTTTCACGCCGCTCATAACAGTTGGTCCCGGGATCTTATACGTTGATAGACCCCCCGAGATATCTAAGTGCACGCTCGGGTCATCGGGGTCATAGAGTTGTTTCCCCGGTGTTCCGCTCGGGAGAACAGTGCCACCGCCTGCAATCTGAATATTGAGGCATTGAGGATAGTTCTGAGAACCTATCGCGTTGCTTGCATTGTGCAATGCTATGATCTCGGTGCGCAGAACATAGAACCCCGGTTTGATTTGCGGGGGGATCTCGACTATCCAGGAATTGTTATTTGCGATGAGAAGATCAGTCGCCCAAAGCCCGCCCGGCCCTGCTGTTCTGTTGGTTCCATTGAGCAATCCAAGCTCGCTGATCTTGAAGAAGTTAAGATCGTTCTTATCTACTTCCTCGCAAGTCTGATTGTTGCCGCAATGTGCAAGATAATCCATAACAGGGCCTTTATGGGACTGTGGCCAACCGTTCCACTGCACGTGAATACGGTCACCAGCAGCAACGAGTGCATGAGCATGAGCGTTTTGAGAACCTCGGTGGCATATGATTTCTTCAGTCGTAAATCCTGTTTGGTTCACGTAGCCCTGATCATAAGCGGTAGTAGACCAGCCAATGGCCAAAGGGTAGGAATCAGGTTTAGTTGGGTGAAAGCCATCATACATCAATCTATCGATGTTGATATTGGAGACATAGCTATGCGCCGCAGCGAAGATGGCGTTTGACGCTAACGTGAGCACGCTTATTGAGTGAGTGGCGTGCATTATACCTCGACCGTCATGAAGTTGTGAGGCTTGGGCTGTATAAATGAGCGGAACGAAGGTAAGCTAGATATTAACGGGCATCAAACCGGACTCGAAGGAGTTCAAGCATGAAGTTTTGAGCACTGATTTGGTTAGTCTGAGAAACCCAAGATGAGAATGGCATCGAACGATGCCTGAAACTAGCTCTACTACCCGGATGTTGATACTCAGGTAAGATGGATAAGTACGGCCTTATAATACACCATGTGAGTAATGGTATTCGGCGGAGTCTACTTGACAAGTTCCATGCGGAACATCTAGTAGACTGTATCTAGTTATTACGAGTTGTCCTGCTCCGCGAGACGGGCCTTCTTGATACCGAGCAAGCTAATATGGAGATGATGCGCTCTTCTGGACGCCTAATGCAGTCATCTCAATGTGATCTTATTATACTCCAAATAAAGCAGTTGACCTGTTTGGCCAGGATCTGTCAGATCTTACGGTATGTTTCCCCGGATCAGCAACTTGATGTACGAGACTGTGTACTCGTGAGCGAATTTAGTCTTCCGTGATATCCACATCTTCCAGGGGCCTCTGCATGGAGTCTCTTGATGCATCAGAACCGCAGGCGTCTCAAAACTCGGTTCATTTAATGAACCCGTGGCGTTTGCGCGGAGTAGATATGGCTACACCAGGCCGCGCGGGCAGTTCACGGTCGCCCATACTACCAGCTAAGCTACACGACAGAGGGAAGCAAAGCTGCGTTTGATGGTGTCGTCTATCCGCGTGGACAGGCATAAGTAATATAGATGAGAAGTGATCCTTGTCACGTCATTGGTACACCGTGGCACGATTGAGTTTATGAGAATTGCGGCTATGCGACTCGGTGCTAGAGCCTCCGAAAACATGATGGGGAGGCGATCGTCAATCTCAAGGCTTGGTGTGAACCACAGGCATGGATGAGGCCAGTGACCGGGGTGCTGTGGCTAGAGTGGCTTAACATGATTGTGCTTAAGTACTTAAGCAGTGGACCTCGGAAGATCTTGAGAGAATATTCAGTTATGCATCTAAGGCAGGCCTGCGCTCAGCTCACCCCGGAAATCGTCTATTTCTTGCTTGGAGGCCTATCCTGAAGATGATATAACAATTTTAGACAGTCAGTTGTCGCAGAATCTCAGCTAGATAATAGGCTAAGCAACCTATGTGGTGTCTACTTTGAGACTTTGTGCATACAAAACCAACGTCTTCCGGCCGACGCGTTGTCGTTCATATCCTCCTCCAAGCTCGGTAGCAAATATATCCGATTCAATTTTACTATGGCAAGACCAAGATCCCTCTGCTAACTAATCAGGGAATGCCCCTTCATACACGCAATTACCACTTGTTAACTGGTAAACGGCATTTCGATCTTCTTAGCAGCAGCAGCCAATTTGTCGGCCTTCGCAACTTGAAACGCATGCAAAAGCGCGGGGTACCAAATATTGGCCATCTTGGTATCGCCCGACTGGTTGGGGTGGACGCCATCGCGAAGATCGCTGGAACTGAACCCAGTGTACTGATCTACGATCCAGATCGGTGATTCCGTCTTGTTGAGACCCTGAGCCCACGTCGGGATGGCCTTGTTCAGGTTTTGGATAGCAGTATTGTAACTGCCCAAGCCCATTGGAATGATTTGTGCAACCTGTTGAACCTGTTAGTCTGCTCTTATCCCCGAACTTGGCTGCTATACAGCCGTAGGCGTCTTAGGAATACGTACAATGATCTTCATGTTTGGGTTACTAGCCCTCATTACGTCGACCAGTGTCGTGAAAGCGGCGATGATCTGATTGACTGGCTTGTTCTGCTGAACGATATCGTTCGTGCCGAGGTGCATCGTGATCACATCGGCCGGATTTCTCTGAAGCCAGCCGACCAGCTGCTTGTTGTTGGCGATGTTGATAGCGAGGAAACCCGAATGGCCTTCATTGTCGCGATCATATCTTGAATTGCCGCAATTGTTCTCGGTCTTTCCCGAGCCAACCCAGTTCACAGAAGCGAACTCAGTGCTTTGAAACTTCTCCCATAGCATGGCACGCCAGCAGATGATTTCTGTGATAGAATCACCGAATGGCATGTAACGAAGAGTCACATTTTGCGCGACTACTACGCTGGAAAGAAGCGCGCAAGTGAGGAGCTTGACAGAAACCATTGTGTTGATCAGTGAATCGCTTGATCAGGAGAGTTGCGATATCCCATCATTTGATCTCGCAAAGTGTTAGGGAGGCGTATACGCTCTCATTTATAGACTTTCCACCGGGCATGTATTCATTGCAGTGCTTCACTATTGAACCTGTTCTGTCACCAACGATGTGGTCTCACCTAGACAATCCTTAAAGGGTCGGCGTTGTCGGACTCCGAAAATGGTGCATTAATCCTACACCACACTAGCAATTATTCCTCGTCTTTTCGCGCTGCTCTTATAAAGAAACCAAATTTTCCTCCCTATAATTCGATAATTTTTACTCTACGCAGCCGTAGCTGTGGCATGCGTTTACGCCCAGGTTCTGCGGCGGGTAGATTCATTATACAGCCAAAAGGGGATCTTGGCATATAGAGTTCCGTGGCCAATGAATTGGCACCAAAGCAATTACCAGATGCATAGTCGCGGAACTCAATTTATCCTGACGGCGCCGGCTGTTTGATACGGATTAATATCTTATTTGCTGAAGGCCGTTTCGACCCTCCATCAGCTCCTAGCAATACTTTAGTCCATCAATGACCATTGACCGCTAGCATTTCAAACCAACATTATCGGACTCGATTGATACCCGAGGTGCGCGTTCCATCTGACGGAAAGTCTGAAAAAGGAAGGGGTGGAGGGGATACAGTGCAGTTCTTGGGAAGTGTATGAATTCGCACTTAGTTCACGAGGCTCTAATATAATGGCAAGGGTCAGAAAACAGACTTGATAAAAGTATTCCATCCGGTCGAGAGGGTTTAAATATTCTCCTCGAAAATGAGCTCATTCTAGGATTTCAGCAGATAATAAGGGTCAGGGACGAGCTAAACACTCAACCCTCAATTCTTTGACTGTAGGGATATTTTTAAAGCATATGCAGCCTCCTGACGCTCCTTCGACTAAGAGTTTACATATAGCCATCCTACTCACTAGGAGATCAAATCCATTCCAACTGCAGATAGATATTTCATTGTTCATAGCTGAAGCGTTTAATATGACATCATTGAGCCAGAGTGGCAGTGTGCTTCTTGTTGGTGGCAGCTACTTTAATTGCTGCGAAACACCAGTAGCTACTGCTAGGTTAATCAAGTAACAGCTCAAATCAAGGTCGCTCCTACAAACTGTGATATCTGACCATGCTTCTACATCTAAGGCGAGGTGCTATGAAAATAAAATAAAAATATCAAATCTTTCCTCAGTTCCTATCGCAAATGTCTCGATCTAGGCCGAGCTTTAGCCTCATTACCTACAGATACTGGCGAGAACCAGAATTTTACCTTGTTGTCTGAGTCCTCGACATGCCATTTCCGATTGAAGTTTGCAAGGGAGCTGGTAGTGGTGCCCCCAGCGAAGGCATTCTGCATACTCTGCGTGATATGGTAGAACGCGCTGATTCTCGTGGGTAAGTGGTGGCTAGTCAGAAGACAGTTGAAACGTGAATGAAAGCCTGATATGTGTCCTGCTAGAGCTTTCTATATTCAACCAACGTGGTGCATTAATGGGATCCCAATCTCTCAGTATCCCAGTCCAGATTCCCGCCAACAGGCCAAGGCAACGTCGCCACGACCAAGGAAGGCTATGTTTGAGGAACATCTTCGGGGACTACGAAGCTCCGATCTCCGAGAAATCATCATGAATTGTTGCCTGAAGAGTCTCAACACGCACAAGGACGTTATCGACATACTCAAACGCATGCAAACGAAGAAACCGAGACCGATCTGTCTCGGCGAACGCGTCCAGAATCCGACAGCGGGGTTGTATCTGTACTGTCGAACCCATCGGGAACTGATAGATATTATCATCGAGTTGGCAAGATACGATGAGACTGGGTGCTTCGAAAGGGATGTTAGGGATCTGGCGAGGGTAATACAAGAGAAAGACGCGAGTGCGGAATGAAATCCAGCAGTTAGGCCAATTCTCCTCTGATGTAGTTGATTATGTTGAGATTCAGGCTATGGAACAAGGCAGTGAGGAGAACAGATTTATAATTAGTATCCGCAGCCTCATGTACCACTGAGCTAGGGACTGAGACAACAGAAGATTCTGTTTCTGTCGATCAACGAACTACAGACCTTGAATAGTACCTCACTTTCCTCCGTCTTCTATTTTGCAACCAATTGTCAAATACCTTTCTCATATATATTTACTGTGACGCAGATTCGACCCCATGGTGATGCTCAGCCAAGGTTTACTACATGCTGAACTTCCACGCCGCCAACCCAGACCCTGGCTATATCTCGTGTATTCGAGATATTCACAAGTGGATCCGAGTTAAGCAACACCAGATCAGCGCGCTTCCCGACACTGATTTCACCCCGATCGAGCAGCCTGTGCCACTTCGCGGTTTCGATCGTCCCCGCTCTCAGCGCTTCAAGCGATGTGAGGCCCACGCCGGTCAGCAGCTGCAGCTCCTCGTGTAGTGTACTCCCAAACGGAAGGTCAAGACCGGGGGCGACAGTACCGACGGCATCCGTACCAGCGAGGATAGGCACGCCAGCCCTGTGAAGTCTTCTCACATTCTCTTCCACGTGAGCATATGTTGCGTTGGTGCTGTTCGTCCGACCGAGGAACGCAAAGACCGCGGGGTTACTGTATCCGTAGTTGAAAATGCTCATTGTGGGTGTCACAAACTGCTTGTTCTTTTTGATAGCAGCGATAGTACAGCTTGATAATAGTCCGTCGTCTGGGATATGCTGTATGCCATCGGTTCGCGATACCACAGCTTGTTCGAAAGATACAATGTCAGAGGCGTGAGTCATGGTTTGCTGGCCGAAAACATTGTGTGCCGTTGACACGAGTTTGTCTTGCTGCGCTTGTGATATACCTCCAAAATTTGCTTTGATTTTGTAATAGTCGCTGCCGTTTCCAAAAGCCCAGATCACTAGTTGAGGTAGGTCTGTGTCGGGGTAGACGAGCTGATCTAGTGGTGGTTGCAGGGCACCATTTCCAGAACCGTTCCCTACAGCCACTGCTCCTGCTGAAAGAAGCGAGGCAACATCTGTCCAGTTGTTGTTCTTTAGTGCGGCACAAGCTGTGTAGTCAGTGCATGCCATGTTGAATAAAGTCGTGACGCCGTAAGACGTGATGTCGACGAGTCCAGCGATATCATGCACGTGGACGTGGGCATCGATCAACCCTGGGATGAGGAACTTCCCGTTGCCATTTACCGTGGTCTTGATATCCTTGGCGTCCGCTGTGATGTGGCCATTCGCAAATATGACGGATTGCGGAGCTGTGAACCCTTGACCATCAAATACACGGACATTCTGGATTGCCGTTTTTGTCGCGACAGGTGATGTTCGGCGTTGAAGCGTCTGCGCTTGAATGTCATCTGTCCTCACCGTGGTCTGAAAGTGATGAAGACATGCTGGAATAATAGATACTAGATTCGCAAGTGTGAAGAACCAGAGTCGATGGTCAATCCTCATCTTGATCTGTTAACTAATGGCTAGTTGACGGATTAAGGTGAAGATGGTATAAGAGAGCTGAGATTCCTTGATACTTATGTGAATGTAGGTTTCTATGCTCATAGGATAACCGTTCCCCCTTATATAGGCTTGTTCTTCGAACAAAATCATTTTTGCACATAGGGTCGTCGTCGTCATCACAGTTCGAAATATGGTATCGTACCTTGGAGTCATTGCGCGGTGCCAGGATCTCGCACACTACGCCACTTATAGATACGACTTACAAGAAGTGAAAATCCACGTCAATATCTTTTCTTTGGGTAGGCCGAACTCCCCCTGACGTGCTGATGTTATGGATAGCAGCATAGGTAGCCCTACTTACCAGGATCCTCGCACACTAGTCCCCATTGAGGGCCTTGATATGTTGACGACGGCTCAACTAGCCAATCGGACACTAGTGCAAAGCGGTAGTCTTGGCTACATGAAGCTTTGCTCAACTATCTAGTCTCACTCTTCGGCGTAGCTGGACTTCGTCAGTTTATACAACCTTTCTTCATGGTCGTCCACTCAAGTTCTGATGGCGAATGGATCTAAAAAGTTCCACTCCAAGTCCCGAAATGTGAGTATTTTAACTACATCCGTCTGGAGGGTTCGCTTGGCTGATCGATCATGCTAGGGTTAGGGACTCCCACCTCAGGATCTGAAAGTTCGGGATGCTTACCAATTGATATTCTAGGGTGTGGGCAGTGCAAGAGGCGACGCGTTCGAGTGCGTTCTCTTTTCAACATACCTATTGAACTATTGGCATTGATTAACACTAAACCTAGTGTAACTGTCAAGGCCCTATATGCTCGAACTGCCATCGGCGTAACGAGCTCTGCGACTACCTTCGGGATCATAACCCTCAGGTGTCAGAGATAGAGGGACCTCGTAATCATATATATGGTACCTCTTTGGAACCGACCTATTCTTCTCGCTTCGCGAAGCCATTCACTGCTCGTAATGAGCAGTCCTACTTCTCGTGTTTTACCGACCTTGTTATAGCGCTTGACTACTACCCCCTATTCGCCGACAAACAACAGCTTCTAGCAAATGCAGCAGCCTTCTTTGACATACAGCACGCCTCCTTTATACTCTCACGCGATATGGTACCTACTAAGAACGGTAATCAAAAGCTTCCGTATTTGTTACCGACTATATCCTCACTGTGCGCAATTCACAAAGCCACACAACACGGCTGCCAGTCGTTAGATGCATACGCTGAAGCGGTGCAACATAATATTGCTGCATCTGCGAACTTCCGACACGCGGAATACAGGGTCCACGAGGGGAATTGGTTGCCCTTGTTATTGTTCGGCGTCAGCCATATAATATTCAATTTCGCTGCCGCTCAGTCAGCGCCGGATTTTGCATTTGATTACCTTGGCATCTTTCACGTTTTAAGGAGTTCGGGGAAAGTAGGAAATCATATTGGTCGGTTTCTAGAGAAGAGCGAACTCAGCAACATACTACAACGACGGCGTCAATGGACAGTTGAGGTATCTCTATACGGCGACAGTCTGTGTGCTATAACCCAGTTGAGCTTGGCGGAACACCCAAAGATGACCTCCCGTTCAGTCCGAGAACACTGCGAACATGCTTTGGAAAAACTGAAATGGTGGGTCAGGTATGTTCGCGGCACACCGCGGATATGGAGAGACTTCATCCTTTGGCCCGGTTCAGTCACGGATGGTTTTGTGACAGCCCTGATGGAGAAGCAGCCGGTGGCACTGCTAATCTACATTTATTGGTGTGTCATCATGCGTCGCGCACCTAGACGATGGTACGCTGAAAGCTGGCATCTACGAGTAGCCAATGCTGCCATGTCTGAGCTGGGTCCGGAGTACGCTGCATTTTTGGAATGGCCGATGCTGGTACTAGGCTGCTAAGTTTGATTCTATTGAACCTTTCATGTATCCCTCAGCTCAGCCATCACCGCACTCTTCTTTCTTGGTTTTCTACGCAGGTGGTAATAGTATGTTAATTATAAATCCAATTTAGTCAGTTGCAGGTCCTCGTAGACCTTGCCGCTTAGCCTTTATGCCATACATCTTTCATGCCTCGATTCGTGTTTCCCCTGTTTGCCGATGATGAATCCCTCAAGAAAGGGGAGTGAAAACAAGATTCAAAGCTCCGACACTTCCTATGTAAGAGTCAAGATATTTATCTGCAACATTGGTGGGGTTCTTCTCATCGGCGGCGAATGCCCATGAAAAGTTTGAGACCACCATAGCAAGAACGATACGAATCTCGGTCAATCCCAGCTGTTTTCCCGGGCACACATGGCGACCTGTTATCACGAGAGTTGTTAGGAATGTAGAAATGGTAGCAGCTTTGGAGGTATATGAAAACTCACCGATACCAAACCCGTTCAATGCTCGCGCATCTTTGACTAGGTGCGACTCCGTTGTCCATCTCTCAGGGATAAACTCGTTAGGTCGCTCAAATGAGGATTCCGCTAGAAACTATTAATATTTCATTCCCGAAACCGAAGTCTGACAGAGCGGTGTTTTCCGCCAAGCGAAGGTCAAGTACTCACATCTACCGATGGACCATCGAGGTGCAACAATGACTGTATCAGGTGGGATGACCTGGCCGCAGATAGTAATGGCCTTATCGACCGTCTGCTTTATGCCGCCAGTCGGCACTGCAGGATAGAGTCTCAAGGATTCATTAATACATCCATTGAGGAACGGCAGCTTGTCAATAATCGTGACATCAAGCTTCTCAAAACGCATACCACCGTCCGGGTGTAGGCGCACAGCACCCGAAGCAGTTATCTCCTCTCGAAGCTTCTTCTGTAGCTCTGGTTTACGGGCCAGTTCGTAAGAGACCATTGTTAGCGTCAAAGCAGTCGTATGACTACCTGCGACAGTAATAAGGAATGCATCGCCGTAGAGAGCTAGGCGGTCGAGTGACTTGAGATCGTTATCGCGCGCGGCTTGGCGAATGAAGCGAGCAAAAGCATCCCCTTGACCGCTAATGGCGTCTATATCATTTTCCTTGTTACCAGAGAATTTCGCGAGCCTCGAATCGCAAGTCTTGGCTGCCCAAGCCATTGTCTTGTTCCAGCTTGCGCTTACTAACGGCAGATAAGGGGCGAATGAAAAGCTGAGTTGACCAATCCATGGCATTGGGGTGAAGAATTGCAACATTCTGGAACCCAAGTATGAGTAATTTCACGTGTTCGGGAGAGTGAAGCAAAGAGTGAACTTCTGAATGAGGGAATTGTAGGGAATTACTCACCCGATACCTTGCGAGACTAGAGTAGGTACTTCTGCTAGCTCGTTGGTTGCGGTCGATGCGCTTGTGTCGTCTGTAAGACCAAACGAGTAACCGAACGCCATCTCACCCATGAAGTCAAAAGAGAAGTGATGATACCATGTGGTCATGTTCAGGGGTTTTGTTCCTGACGCCTTAATATGGCGAAGCAGTTGCCCCGCGTAGTGTTGGATTCGAACTTGCTTGTCTGGCACATCTACCGTATGTGTCAGCCGATCTTTTTACTTATGCTTTGTCACGTAATCACGACAAGGAATCTTACACATAGAAGAAAGTTGAAGAGCTTCATCCCAACGCTTGCGACGGGGACCATGGCCCTCCTTGGTGCGGATGGAGTTTACTGATACGTAAGGATGCATCATGTCGTACCAAGGCGCCTTGATGCATGTTGTCCTTGCGCCAGCAATTGCGTCAAAAGCATCAGGGTCGATTATGGTCAGCTCCTGGGGTCCTTTCATAGGTCAGCCTCTACCTATATCATTCGATGAGTCTTGCCCCTTACCTGTTCTGATGATCTTTCCATACTTATGGTAGAGTTGATCAAGGACTTCATGATTTGAAACGAATAGGATTTTCCAGAAATGCCAGAACTTAGAGACTGCGGCCAACCGTGGGCCTTTGAAGTGCCTTAAACGGTGTTCGAAGAGACGGTATATCGCAATACTCGTAAACAGAGGTCCGAAGAAGGAAAGATTGAGGAGTCCGGTAGTTAGAACTGCATCTAGGCCAGCCTCAGATGGGTCAGAACCGAGCTCAGATGTCTCAGCCACGAGAATTGTAGATATCAATGCGACAGACGCAAGAATCCATAATTTTAGATATATAGGTGCCTGGAGGTGGTGCTCCCCACGGACGAAGTAAAACCTATGACTTAGGACCCCTAGAACCCCAAGGATCATAAGCCCTTTGGGCGCTTTGAGCTCGTTTAGAGCTGGCACAACGTATTGTAGAATGTCGGACATGATATCTGAAGTTGAAGGCTATATGCCTGCCTTGTCTCCAGTTCCCGTTCTGAGGGACAGTAGGAGGAAATGAGGGGGTTTGGCAAACATCCCAAAGTTCCTACACATCATCTCACTACCGATAGGGCTCACACTACCACCATGTGACTGCCTGGAACCAGCCATGTATACAAAGCTGCAGATCTTGGGGCAAGCTAGTATGCAGCATACTCAGAGAAGCAAGAACGCTCTATCTGCACATCTGTACGCCGAGACTTTGTGCAGCCAGACTAGGGTCGTATTGCCTATCTAGCATCATATCGGTGATTGATCACTGGTTAGACACCGGGTATAACGAATACTGGCCCAATCATAATAACATGATTACCTCCAGACCTCTCCGCAAAACTACACGCAGTAAATGCTTACCTATTGTCTTACCAGATTCGGGCTACCTATGAGGTACCCCTCTCGTATAGTAAGACCGGCGGATGAGAAGATCTGCATGACTTACCTGAATATCCTACTTGGTAAGTACCCCATTCTGACCCACCAATGACCTAAATTCTCACTGTAATGTAACCCCGTATATAGCTAAAACTCTTTCTGCAGATGGATTTATCTCCTCATTCGCCATTCAGCAGTTATCTTGCTATAATTAATATACATAGGTGCTCTAGCTAGCTAAGTCATAAGACTCTGGGAGCAGCCAAACTAAGAATATTGCTTACGGGAAATAGTCCATGGTAATATGGACATATCAATTGCCGCGGACACTCACTTCTAAATTCTCTGTCCGAGGACTAAGTTTAATTGCCATTAGTAGTATGAGTTAACAATTAACTCATCTCAACTATGAGTAGGTAGACAATTCAAATGGCGCCCCGCGAAAATTGACATCATGTGAAAGCTATTATACGACGGTACAGATACCAGGTCTTTCTGGCTTCAGTACTTGATGCATTCCGTGGAATCGTGATCCTGGACCTTTGACATCAATATGTAGAGGTGATGGGAAGTGATAGGATTCATGGAGCATAGAAAAGAGGCAGCGAACCATCATGAAGGACTTCGCCTGGTAACAGCCCTAGAGACCTGCCAGACAACTGGTGGGTTCTATCGCGACAGAAAGACAACTGTCCCACACCTACTCGCATCATCACGTAACGACACGATGAAGGTGTTTATATCCCACCCTGATTTATCACAGGCACTTCGAATGTAGAAGCACTACCTCCTACTGTCTTAGACGCTGCCTCAATGATTAACACCTCATGTATCCCTATCTGATAGTATTTGAAACATACCTTGCGATGTAGTTATGAGCAAGTGCCTCAAGGGGCAATGTATACAAGCTCACCATCCACAAATTCCAAAGAGCGAATGTCATTCGGTCTTCACTGACTGTGCGGAGAAAGAACGTCCGAAAAGCGACAATATACGCGATTGAAGTGCTCGTTGCGTAACCAAGAACACCGCACCGCCAGAAAAGAGGGCATACTACTCCCCATAATATCATGAATCCGACAGTGATCCAACGCGTTGGGGCATCACCGATCTGAAGCGGCATTGTGTTTCGACCGCGAACCTTGTCGCCATCCTGGTCATGCATGTCTTGCGTGTGAACAGTACTTAAAATAACAACAAACAGCAACAAAATCCACTGTTCTAAGTTCGGAGCATTTAGGTCAAGAATTGTGGCAGCTGTAAAATGGAGGGTTTGTCCCAAGGCCACCTCTAGCGCCCCGAGTCCAAACGAGGTGATACCCATGCTTCAAAAATTAAATATTAGGATATGTCATCAGGCTCAATATTTCGCAAGCGAAACGGGGATATAAATCAATCCATTACTCACGCGTTGATGAAGTTTCTGGTAAATGGTCGTCCCTCACTGCCTCCGCAATCGTTGTACCAGAAACCTGTCACGACCATATTAGACAATGACAAACTTGAGTGGTAATACAGTAGGCTCTTACCGAGTAGTGTTAAGAGCTTGCATGATCTTAAGCCACCAATAAACCAGCTGCTCATGAGAGCCACTACATAGGCAAATTTTTGTCCATATGAAGCTAGTATTGGGCTCCATCTCCCGGAGGGTATTGTCCTCCATGGCTTGTTAATTTTATCTTCCGCGATTGACTCAGGACTCCGTTGGTTACCGATATCGATGGCAAGAAGGTTAATCCAAACCCAATACAGTACTAGAGGAAAACGCTGGAGAACATCGTTCCTTGTCTCTCCACTTGAGTTATTCGAATTACTTTCGGTGAACCACAAGGCATGTAGAACGCCGAACGCCGTTTCCGGAAACAATATGGTATGTAGATCGCTGTAGGTAAATAGCCATATGCTGTATGCGTGATATAGCAACCGATGGACAAGCTGATGTGGCTTCTTGACAGAATCTGAAGCCAATTGCCGTTCAGCCGTCTCTTGTGTCATAATGGTTCTGCGTAAAATTACGAGTAGAATGGTGAGAAGGATGAAGTTTTCGATTGTTCTTGAAGAATGAAAAGTGATAGTATTTCCTGTCCCTGTTTTAAAGTAAACCCATATGTTCATAACGTCAATCTCGAACAGTCTAACGGTTATTATATAGCCTCACCTACGTTCAACAGTTAAAGAGTGGCTGCCCGAGGCCTGCCATTACCTATGTCTAGCTATGCAAGCGCCAGTGTGACTTTGAAACACAATAATTGAAAAGATATCACGATCCTTCCGAAGCTCACACCGATAATCTCGCATTGTAGTGAAACATGAGGAGCACTTCGTCAGGTTTACAAATTGAAATCACAGCTACATCCATCGTTTTCATGGAAAATATCATGACATCATATGTTTCAGTGTTCTCTTGTATCTTATGATATAGTATTGCCTTTGAAACGGTTCACATGAGAGGGACGCGCAACAAGACATAGAATCTCCGCCAGAGTCGCTTGTCCCGCTCATGTCAACCTATATCCCTGATCGACCTTAGCTGTAGTTATCACCGGACACTACTATATAGAATTCTAGAGCCTTCAACAATATTGCCCGTATGGACGCGTAGATAGATATTATAGGACTGAACATTTCATCAAAGACTCATAAGCGCGAAAATTTCTTATCGTGGTACCAAATAAGAACGTTCAACCAAAAGGATGCATCACGCCAACATCACATCATTCGGGCAATTCCTTCCCGTCCTAGCTCTCGTACACAGATTTCAACAGAGGCACCGACCAGAAAGGCCCAGTTTGTTCGCAACCTTCTCCATCATCGCTATAACTACACCCAATCCTGCTATGGAGTCAGCATTGGTCGTCACACGATAATCAAGACAATCAAACTCGAAGGTAGCAACTTGAGCCGAAGCCCATATAATAAGTGCTAGGTTGACTCAACAACAGTCCTGAACAGCTTGGGGAAGCTTGTCATACCATCCGGTGCAAGCAACAAGCACATAACAGCTTAGCTAGCCATAACTTTCGGTGTCACAGAGTTTCGGGGAAAAGGGTTTAGCCTGGCTGCCCACAGGGATTGTGGTATCACGATGTTAATGTAGTGTTGCCTGATGTGTCTCCGAAGGATTCATCGCAACAAAACGACATTTAGGATTGTGTCGGGTCCGATATAGCAACACGTGGCTTGCGTGCTACTACATGCTCAAATCATGTTCCTTTTATTAGCCATCTTTTTGATCCAGCAACGAGCTCATGGCGCACAAAATCTCAGGATATCCCCGCCAGGATGCAATCAGGGGCTTGCACCTGAACTTTCTCCTGGTCCCAGGATCAACTAATGACCCTATCTTGCGCTCAATCAACAATTGGTCTTTGCTTTGAGCGCCATAAACTCAGAGTTGCGCGTATCGGCTCGATTCCGTCTTGATGGTGGCGGTTGTCTCAGACCTGCGTCTACACCTTCACAAACATGACGCTGATGTGCGTCTCGCTAGTCTACTATGTAATCCTGATTATTCTCTTGGCAGCACTCGCTCAATGATATGATAACAATCGCGCACGATGAACTTTTACGAGCTACGTTGAACGCTAAGTACCCATTTCCCCTAGGACGAATAATTCTATAATATGCAGATTCCTGGGGGAAGTTTTGGGTTCTACCTGTTGCTCTGCAGAGGGCGTTGTCTTTTCCCAACTTTGGGATCCCGTCAAAGGAACTGCTTAGGTAAGTATTGGTCGGTAAACAACTGGGTTACCGGAGCTTTTAAGCGGGCGTAGGAACCGAGTATCCACAGAGTAAAGCCGATTGGTCATTACTCGCTTGGGCCAGCTAGCGACGACTTGCATGATGCATGCGCTCTCTCCTACTAATACTATGTATGTTGTACATTGAAACTTCTAAGTTGATTCTACAAGCAGTGCTTTTCACGATCTGGATTGCTCTCTAATAAACTCTATCAATGTCAGAGGCGGGTGTCCCGAGAGTGAAGCTGGGTTGTAAGTAGATAGCACCTAAGTAGTAGATAGGTTGAAGGTATGGGTAAGAGCTTGACATTATTGATTCCTGGTCCTCTCTAATGCTAGAGGGGTCTTCCACCTCCTTATATATATACTTGACTATCGAACTATCTCCACCCCTTCGGAGTAACTTCTGCCCTAGTGCTTCCTTGCTCCGGACAATCAAGTTACCGGATTATATGTGCCATCTTAGAAATACACGTACGCAAACTTGGGCCAAATTCATCCGACGGCGACTCATGTGACAAATCAACTCAGATGAAAAAGACTACCTACTGCAAAGGCGCGGCACGGCACGCAGCGTCAGCATCGGAGACCCGGTCCGGTACTCGGAGGCGCTCCGTTGGTGCATCTACACGTGCCATGCATTGCAAGCTTTACCTCCACCATACAATTCCTCGGCCACCGCATACCGGATGCGAATAACCATTCATCGCTGAAAGGAATCGAACCTAACCCACTGCCCTTTTCAAGCCCAGCTTCAACTTAGGGATGCTGAGTCCGCTACACAAGGAATCGAAGCCAATTAGAACAGGGTATCCAATGCGATTACAGAGGACAGTTGCCTATAAGGATATCTTGGCGTTCCCAACTCCAAGCCCGACTGAAAGAGGTGGTGATGGCACCCTATACCTACGCTGAGTCAGCTGACCTTTGACAAAACCCTCATTCGCAATATCTGTCCAGAGTTCAGAACATGAAGAGCACTACAATATTAGATACTTATATAAAAATATATCTCCCAATGCTATAGTTTCATTTTCCCGCTTATTGGTTTGTCTCTTTCGCCTCCGTCATCTTTTCTGTTCAAAATGATTCAATTCGCTGCTATCTCATCAAACGTTAGTTATTTCAGGAGTACCGGTTTGCTTACTTGCCTCCCTAGACTCATACGACGTGTCTGTCCTAGCAGTACTTAGCGATCGCGCGTGCGTCTCGAACACCGACTCGTCAAGACTGCGGGCCGAGTCGGATATCCGACCACCTATCGCCGAGGAAATCCCATACTCGCAAAGTCGGGCCCGTAATATCGTCAATCTTATTGCGGTCTGATGATGAACATGGGAATTCGCGAGCATGTCAGGCAATTCCCCACCTTCTCCTGACTTCACTCGGTAAAGCGGGTGGAGCAAAGCTTGGTATTGACAGGCCGTAGTAATTACTGCAGATGATCCTTGATGGCCCTACTTATTTAACTTCCACGATAACCCGAGCCTTTGAATATTTCTGGGTCTATATATACAAATGAGCCTCCATTCGTAATCACTACGACACACCGATATGTCTCATACTAATAGAGGATGAATGTCCTCAATCTAATCTAGCACTGAAGGAGAGTCTATTCGCTTAGACCCTAGACTTGGAATATCAATTTAGAGGTGTAGCTCACACAATCTCCACCATGGAGAAAGAGACCGCGGCCTCTGACTCGCGCAAGCCTTTCAGGGTGATAGTCGTAGGCGGCGGCCTCGTAGGCATCACAGCAGCCCACATCCTCTCGAAAGCGAACATAGACTTCGTGATACTCGAGCAGCACGACAATCTAACGCCGTGGATCGGATCGCTGATCGTGCTGTGGCCTGCATCCTACCGCATGCTCGCCCAGCTAGGTATCCTGGATGAGATGCTCCCTGTGCTAAACAAGCTAGAAGACTATGAGACGCTGAACGCGAACGATGGCTCAGTTCTGTATCGCACGAGGGAAGTAGGGCAGATGTGGGAAAGAAAGTACGTGAAATTCACTATGTCAACCCCTGTAATACAGCATACAGATTGCTAAACGCCATGCGCGGCAGTCACGGCCACGGAGTCGGCTGCACCGCGCGCTCCGAGTTCCTCGCCGTTCTCCACCGGACTCTCCCGGAGTCCGCGAAGGCGCGGATCCGTCTCAAGAAGCGCGTAACAGACATCGAAACGGTCTCCGACGGCGTAGTCGTACGCTGCGCGGACGGCACAGTAGAAGAAGGCTCCCTCGTGATCGGAGCGGACGGCGTCCACAGCCGCACGCGGCAATGCATGCAGGCCCTAGCCACAGGGAACCAACAAGCGCCTCATGACGCGGAGAGCCCGTATATATCGACGTACCGGGTCCTCCTCGGCAACCTACCCGAAATGACACAGCTAAAGCCGCACAACCAATACCTCGCCATCGGCCCGCGGGTCTCGGCACAGCTCGTCGCAGGTGAGGGGCGCGCATGGTGGTACCTCTACGAAGCCCTCTCGGAACCGACGCGGCAGCGCCACCGGTACACCGCAGAAGACAAACAAGCGATGATGGACAAATACGCCGATCTGCAGGTAACACCGGACTACACGCTCCGCGACATATGCGCTTCCAACGTCGGAGACATCGGCCTGATCAATCTCGAAGAAGGAAGTGTCGATTCCTGGAGCTGGGGCGGCCGCATCGTGCTAGTCGGCGACGCGGTGCGCAAGCTCTGTCCGCACGCTGGGCTGGGATATAACTGCGGCGCGGGGGATATCGTGGAGCTAGTGAATAGAATACATCGCGTTTCCGCGGAAGGGAAACAGCCAAGTGCTGAAATCCTTCAGGCCGAGTTCGACGAGTACGAAAAGACGCGGAAAGGCTTGGAGAAGACGGTGGACGTGATCTCGCGCATGTCAGCGCGGAGTGCGGCGTGGTTGAGCCGAATGGACCGGTTCATGGCGACATGGGTGATGCGGTTTTTCCCTATCGTGAAATGGTTAGTCAATTATTTGCTGGCGCCCGTCGTTGCGCGGGAACCTGCGATTGAGTGGTTAGAGGAGACAGAGTTACCGCAAGGGGCCAAGCGGTGGGTTCACCGTCCCCTATCTAAAGTGCGATAATCAGATGTAGACATATCAAGTAGACGAAATAGATAATAAATGAATCGCTAGATGAGACGCATAATTGTAACCAGCGATGCTAAATTTGTCCTCTCAAACGCCGCGCCATGCAAGACTGAATCATGACCAATTGATGAGCCTCAACGCCATAACCATGTATAGTAAATAAAGTAACAACGCGAGGGGATGTAGAATGGACCTCTACTCAACGTTCACCATATCCGTTTTGCAACCATTTCATACCGAACAACTTTCGCAAGACCATCATCTCCTTTCTCCTTAAGCTTTTCTTGTGTCTTACGTTCTCGGTCACGCATTCTCTTAAGGCCTTCCGGATCGTCCTCGTAGATCAGCTTCCTTCGCTCGTCACCAATCTCTACGGCACTGAATGCGCCAATACGCTGTCCAGGCTGTGAGAAATTTTCGTCTTCCGCCTTCCCCGTCGCGACAGCATGCTCTCTCAACTTTACTATGGTATATCGCCTGTGAGAATATCGGAGCAAAGCCATACCAAGAAGCAACTTGACGATCAGTAGTACGATCCACGCTAGAAAGAAAAACACGAGCATGGTCAAGAGTGCGATAACGTCGTCCGATGAAAAAGACCACCACGGCTTATCATGGGAGGACTCGTGTGGGTACACAGCACGGCCTAGTGCATGGCGAATCAATGTATCAAGCTGCTCGAAAGCGGCAATCATAGCGGCCGAAGACGGCAAGGAAGATTCGGCCGACAGCTCAGTGGTCGTTGTAGGTATAGGTGAAGGAATGTGTGTGGCGAGGAACATATGGTATACTTGAAAAGATGCACGGATAAAGAGGCAGGATAACGGCAACAGCGGGAGACCGAGTCGACGTGTCAAGGATGGGGCGGAGAAGGCCTATAGAACGGTAAGCACTGAACTATCAAGACATCTGATAATAAAGAATTGGAATGCGACATACGTTGGTGTAGTAATCTTTACAAAGGATATCTAGCATCCTTTGGTAGATCGTAGGTTTGACGTTATTGAACTTGTTGATGTACGCATGCTTAATCCAATCGACCATCATCTCGATGCCGATGACCACGACAAATGGGGAGAGAACTTCGCCTGATTGAAGCCATGTTGGTAGAACCGTAAAGCTGGCAGGTAAGATTGAACTCGTATGCATTGGACCGGCTTTGAGACCGCCGCCATCGAGCTCGCTACCAGCTCCGGGGACAGAGAGGCCACCAACCTCCACCACATTTCGCATACCAATGATGAGAAGGATGATCCACGTCTGGAACCGCTCTACTACGTCTGAGCAGGTAAGCTGAAACAGATTCTCTTTCTCAATCTTCTTAAACACGCTGCCTTTGATCTCGACAAATTGGTTCGATATGAGCAGCGTCAATAAGGAATTGGAATACGAGTTTACTGCAACATTCAGGGTGATAACTTGGTAGAATAAACACCACGTGTGAATGACATTATAGACCAGTGCGAGCAAGAACATGCCGAAGGGTAGCAGTATCTTGGATCTTCCGGAGCTGTTCCGCGAAAGTGTTTCCGAGCTAAAGAGACACTCCAAGATGTCCTGTCCGATCGCCGAAAGGAGCCGGTCGGCCACCTGAAGAGTTATTAGCTACGAATTGGAACTGCAAGTTAGCGTAAGCCTACCTCTAGTATGTTGTAGATGACATATAATTTCATGGATGACTGTGCACGAATGAAATGGTACATTCGGCTTGCGTCAAGATTCGACAGAGCAATAGAACTGCAGATGAGAACAGCGCCTTGGAGAAGATCGGCTTTGTGGTACGATGTGAGACTCGAAGGCATCGACTTCGTCCTACGATGTCGGAACCGCCCCGGTCTAGGCATCGCATGTTTAGGGGGATAAAACACATCGCTCGGATTCGGTCGTGCTTGTTCTCCCAAAGACGATCCATGGGCATCAGATGTATTCCGTTGTCTCGCCACTCCGTTTTGTCTTGGCCTTGGACTACCAGTACCCCTCCTCGCCCGGCTTTGGCTCCGTTCAGTTTCACTCTGAGCTTGGGTGTGGTCGCTCGGCTCACGCGCTGAAGTTCTACCCCTCCGGCCTCTCCGCCAAAGGCGTCCCAGACCGAACCAAACATAGCCAACTACCCATCGAACCTCTTTCCAGATGAGGTACAACCACCACTTCACAAGTACCCCTAGAGCAGTAACAAATCTCATTGGCAATATCGTGAATGTATACAGCCAAGCATCAAAGCATGCTAGCGTCCCAAAATGCATGATTTGCTCGAGATAGGGTGGGAGCAGTAAGGCATTCAGCAAACGTTCGAATTTGACGGCGCTGGATTCATAGGGAGTATCCGCAGAATGGGATTGATGGATATACAATGGACTCGGTCGTTGGCCTGCGAGTTCAAGTTGCAGATGCGTGGGAAGTGACATGGGCGGTAGGGGTATTGTGGGGATCATCGGCGAGCGGGGAGGAGATTGAGCGCGTTCTGGCTGAACTGGTGTTAATTTTGCAGTGGCTTGAGCAGATTTGGGCGGCCCGTTCAGGTTGAGGGGTGCTGGTCTGGGAAGAGGGTTGAATGAGTTCCGTCGATTGTGAAGCGGCGCACTCATCGGAGCACCCGGCGGGGGTCTCCTATTAATGGGAGGACTGGAAAGAGTACGAGCGGACGGAGGCGGTCGCTGAAAGTCGGCGGCCGTGCGTCGACCTGGTTTTTTTGCGTCACCCGAGCCGTTAGATCGAACGGAGCCATTCCTCGCTCGCAGTGACATCTCAATACCGTCTTGTAGCTGATCTCCCATCGAGATGTGCGACATGTCGTCGATAGCATTAGCCGACAAGGGGTATTCGGATCCGTTGGGTTTACGCTGCGGTGTAGCCACGACAGCAACGGGCAAGGAGTCCGGGGCTGATGTGAGGGCCTGCATCTGGGAAGCAGAGAGCTTCCTAATGCCATCACGACTACCGTGAGTGCCATGCTTGGTATTTGACTGTGCTCGTGGCTTTGTAGGAGGAGCGTTCTCCGTTCGGGATGAGGTACGGCCAACTTGGCTGCCATTGGGAAGGTCGTCGATCAGAGGCGAAGCCGAGCCCCCGTTCTCGGCGGTTGGCTCGTACTTCAAGGTCTTCCTAAAAGTATCAAGGTTGGCAGGCGTCGGGATGTTCTCGTAGTCGGGAAAGGGATCGATCGGGGGTGTTGGACATTGTGTCGCACCTCGCCTCGCTCCAGCACCAGCACCATGGTCCATGCCGTCGTGCTGCCTCTGCTTCACGGCAGCGCTGCTACAGCCATTATCCACGTCAGTTCCTCCGCCGTGTCCTTCCATCTCGTTAGATAGCCGGCCGGGCATTGTTCAGTCGTTGTTCAAAGGCGGTCGGGGCAGCGAGAAGCGCATCCTTCCTTGGCTCTCTGGGTAAGGTCTAGACCCGATCTGGTGCGGGCTCGGATCTGAAACGAATGCCCGTACCATAGCATACTAAAAAGCAGGTATCATGGTCCCGCACAGACTGCTTCTACGCAACAAGTTGTGACTTAACAACCAGGGCAAATGAGTTATGAGAAAGTAATCAGTTGTTAATAAAGGAGGGTGGTGGTTGGTTGCTTGGTTGGTTGCTTACCTACCTACAGCGTGACTGGGCACATGGCAAAAATTAGTATTGGACACGTAAAGTGTATGGCGGTACCTGGTCGCTGTAGGTGCCTGAGACAAGGGTCTATGGCTGCTGAAAACTCGCTAGCACTTGGGGGCTTCAGGGCTCTTCCAGCTCCTTTCAGGTGCAGCAGCTAGTCTATTTAGGTACCTATGCAGCCTGTCTCAGCTTACCCCAGACATTTTACGTCATTGCAACCCATCATGATCTTCAATATTAGATATTTAATTTCCAAGATGCTTCTCGAGTTTGCATTGCAGGCTGTTTTTCTCTTCTACTAGACTGTAGTGAACCCGTTGCTTTGTGAGAAGTGGCTCGGGATAGCTAGACATGTCATACACATACGCGATTCTCATACCCATGCTAGTAAAGATGAGACATCATTGCTTTTTGTCAATCGACGGTTGGAAAGCTGCCTGCTGAGCACTACTTAGTATCTAGGTAAGTAGATTTGAGAGAGGGCTTTCGTCTTCATTTATCTTGCGTAGTATCGGTTCACAGCTAAGCAAGAATATGATGCTGGCATTCACTATATAGCACTTATCGTTATATTGAAGTCCGACGGATAATAAGATCCCTTTGAGCATGACTTAGAGAGTGTTGGCTAAGATCCTCGACCGTCAAATGAAACTTGTGACATTTGCTGGTTCCATTCTCTTATTTGTATATCCACCGCACTATCTATATCTGAAAACCAAAGTAGTATATACTCAACGTGATCTTACATAATTCTTCTCACGCTTGTCACATAATCCTGCTGCTACGTCTCTGTGAAATGAAATCTAGGCACATGCCGTTGCTGAGTGAGCGAACAAACCAGATAAATTCATCGCTCAGATGTAAGGTATTCGATTTGACGTGTCTAGATTTGGACACAGGTGGATCAGCGCATAGGCAATTGATGAAAATCTGTCTTGGGTAAGCTCTAATATTGTTGCCTATCTGAAGAGTGCAGGGCGCAAGACAAAGTCAGATACTTTCGCAACACTTCCAAGGCAAGATTTTCTCACTTGAAACTAAGAGGGAAATTCGACACTTAAATGTACGTTCAGATGTCGCAGTTGTCTTACGTTAACGTTCTAGGTAGCACATTAGCTGTCCCGGGAACGGCTAAGCATCTCTATTAATATCAATTAAATTGGCCGGATCCGAATCCTACTAAGATGGCTGAGTTATGGACGATCTCGTCCGTAGGGGCTCGAGTCCGAACTTACCAATCAGCAAGAAGCTCAACACCCAAAAAAGACAATACCCAGTCCACTAAAACGCATGGCGCCCCAGTCCGATCTTTAGCGCATGTCTAGGAACTCCCGATTAATTTCCCAATACCGCTTCTTAACTTAACAGAATTGGGGAACCACTATGCGACCTAGTTTCGTTTCTAAAGCTTGTACAGGAGGCTCAGATGTGGGCCAAAGTCCGAAGGCTGACCAAAGGCTCGGGATCCAGGGCCAACGACCATCGACTTAGGAATAATGACGAGTCGATAATTTCGGTGAAGATGATAGGCAACGGTCGAACGGTCTCGTTGAAATATATATATGTAGATGTAGTCCGCTAAAGAGCTATCTGAACTTGTTCTAGTAACAGCACATACTACTCTATCTCTACTGCAGCCCTTACCGTCATGATCTTTCAATCACATCGCACCCCATCAACCTTAGGGGCTTTTCTCCTGCTCGCCAATGGAGCGCTTGCTGCTCGGGATGGACTCTGTCCCCCTCTAGGCCCGGTCATGCCCGTTCCTATAAACCCTTCGGGCCATGACTTAGTGCAAGACGCCATCCGACTCGTAACGGACAAGTTCCAAAACCTCACAGCGGACTTCAACACGACAGGAATATCAATTGCCGTAAAGTCGATATATGAAGAAAATCCCATGATCGAGCTCCATCACACGCCTCCAGTCCTCGATAATACTAGTACAACTGCTGTTGACTCGGAAACAATCTACCGGATCGGAAGTCTTTCGAAACTCTTCGCCGTCCTTTCTATTTTGACTCAGGGGCAGATGAAATTGGAAGATCCTATCACGAAATACGTCCCTGAATTACTCCAGTTAAGGAAAGAAGCGGTGCCAGTTGCCAACGACATAACTGCCGTCCACTGGGACCAAGTCACCGTCGGCTCACTCACATCACATATGAGCGGCATCGGCACAGACCGTAAGCATCCCATTCTTCCATAAAGTATCCAGGCTAACATTATACAGTCGTCAATGATCTGGCTAGCTTTCCCGCAGACTTCGCCCAAGTCGGCCTCCCACAGCTGACGAACTCTTCCAAGACCGGGTGTGCGGGTCTCTTCGGTCTTCCAGTCTGCACCCGCGCTGAGTTCTTCAGGGACTTCGGAAAACGCCACCCCGTGTATGCGCCTTGGACGAACCCCGTGTACTCCAACGTGGCAAGCTCGATCCTCGGCTTTGCGGTGGAGTCCGCTACGAACATGAGCTACGACGCGTATGTGCAGCAGGCCATTTTCGGTCCTCTAGGAATGACGAACACAACGATCTTTGAGGCACCTAAGGAACGATCGTGGGGTTTTATTCCCAAGGGCGATATTTGGTTTGGGAGCAGTCTCGGATACGAAGATATGTAAGCTTCAGTCAAACAGAGCGCCCCAATTGCACAGTCAAGGCTAACTGAATCAGTGCTGGCGGATTATACTCGAACACAAAAGATATCCTCGCCCTAGGTACTGGTATCCTTCAGAACCGCCTCCTAGATCCCGTCGCAACACGCCAGTGGATGAAACCAATAACATCTACCTCATCACCGGGCTTTATGCTCGGCGGGCCGTGGGAGATCCTTCGCTCGGACACCGTAACAAAGGATCAGCGCTTGATCGAATACTACACGAAATCCGGCAATCTCGGCTCATACAACAACATAATCTGCCTGATTCCGGACTACGGCCTCGTCATCACGATTCTCTCCGGCGGCGGCGAGTCTTCCGCTGACACAGTCGACTTCACCCTCACCGACGTCATAACAGCCTTGCTCCCCGCCATTGAAGACGCGAGCAAGACACAAGCGGAGTCGCACTTCGGCGGGACATACGCGGACGCCGCGACGAACTCCAGCATAACCCTCTCAGTGGACGACGGGCCCGGCTTCGCCGTGACGAACTGGACTGTGCGCGGCGTCGATATCGTCGAGAATTATAGCGCTTTTGGCGCGCTCTCGAGCAGTCCGACGAACCTCCCCGTTCGCGTCCGATTATACCCTACGAATCTCTCCTCCGGATGCGAGATCGCGTGGCGCGCGTATTTCAACGTCGGCACGCCCGAGCAGCTTGCCGAGGGAGACGCGAAGAGGTTCTGGCCGAAGGGGACTTGTCATACGTGGGCCTCTATGGATAGGCTTGTATATGGCTTCAAATCGATAGATGAGTTCATCTTTACTACGAGTAAGGGCCAGGCGAAGAGCTTGAGTTTACCTGCATTTGATGTACGGCTGAAAAGAGAGGCATAAGCCTATGGATATTGGGGCCGGAGTTTACTAATTTGCTTAGCTTGTTACATACCTATTGTGTAGAACAACTCCTTTAGTAGTTGTTTGCTGTATATATCCTTTTTTGAAAGATATACCCCTCTAATGATCTTTTATACTAGAAAATATTTCTTGGGTTTAAATATTGTGCATCGCGGTTCGCAAAACTGTCATATCCCCGACAGGCACCGCCGAAGCCTTGGGGAACAGCAAATCATATTTAAAACAAGTACCCCATATCTTTGACCTTCAGAAGCGTTTTGCTGTTCCACAGAGTAGTCACCATTAGATGAGTGTTTGCTCCATCATCATCATATTTTCCCCAGAATCCACGTCCCCTGCTTGATCAAAGAAGCCAGGTCCAAGCTCTAAGTCTGACCAGTGGGTATCGATAACATCCTGTGCTGTCGAATACTGCGAATTGTTTTCTCCAAAGCCAGATATAGAATTCAATTTGTCCCTTTCAGTAGTATTGATTTGAAAATAGTCTGTTGGGGATAGAGTGTTAGTAGAAAAGGTCCTAGCCGAGTTACTCCCACATGCCTGGGGCTCTTCAGCTTCCAGCACATTTGAGAAATCCGGATATAAAACATTCGTGTTGTGTGCATCTTTAAAAGGCGCTGCAGGACCATGGGGTGAAATGGCGATACTGGATAGACTGGCTTGAGGAACTGGACTACTCAATTCATTGACAGTTGTCGTACCCATGTCTACACTCGGACAATTAGATCCTCTCTCTGCCTGTGTTATATCGAAATCTTGTTTGCCGTGTTGGTCAGCGGTCCCTATAAACTCACTGACGTTCGAAGTATAGGAAGCTGGCGGAGGAGTCGAGAGTATGTGACCCGAATTGGGTTGACTGTCGTTGGCTAGACGCAAAGCTATCTGGGATTTGAAGGTTTGTAAGTTTGGCAGGTGATCCGGCGGAGTAGTCACCCACTCCGAGAGAACGGCGAGAACATCGTTCATGTTGATATTGGTCATCTTATTACGGCTTGCTTTCCATATCCTCTTAAGATTTGACAAGGTGATTTGCTCACAAAGGATATTCTCGCTCCACCAAGGGCTTGTAGGCTTTCGCAGATGGGGAAAGAGTGCATGCCATGTCTCTTCCCATCTCTCGACTGGATCAACCCCTTGGGTTTTTCGCAAGGGTAATATCGTACATACACATGCACCTCCGGTCGGAAGGCAGTGAATACGATGGGCGGTTCGCTGCTGTCTATTTTTGAAGCGCATACAACACTGGCAACAGTGAAGATCACCAGCATGGTTGGATTTGAGGTGCGCGCCTAATGCACTGATATTTCTTCCTCGAAACGTCGTGCACGTGGAATAAATGTGCGGGTTTAGCTTATAAAACAAGCATGATAACGCAGGACTTTGTTCCCAGCCAGGTATTGCCTGAGATGTTTTGCCTCGTTTCAATCCCTCCTGGTCGCTGTCGCTATCTTCTGAGGGTCGATGCGGGCGTTTGTTGAGATTTTTAGATGACTGTGTTCGATCTTTTGAAGCGTTTGAATCAGCTGAGATTGAGGTAACTGGTGAATCTCGTGCTTTCTCAGCATCTGCGCCACCTTGTGCGCCCTTACAAAACCCCTTGTATATCTTGAGGAGACTAATGTAGTGGGCTGTACCTAGTTGTATTTTCAGACATTGTAACAGTGAGGTGAGACGCTTGAAGTCAGCTCTAGTATGATCAATTGCTAATTTATGGATTATGTCCGTGTCCGTGAAGTCGGTGAAAACGTCAGCCTGCTTTCCTGATATCACACCGTCATCGCTTGGAGTTGTTTCAAGGGACTTGGGTGCCCAATTGTGGTAATACAATTCTCGGTGGCCCGATTGCGAGATGGTAGAAATAGGTGCGCCTTTTACAAACCCAAAGTTACATGGCGATGTTTCGTATTGACTTCGCTGTTTATTGGTCGAGGGTCTCGTAGGTAGGTGTTTGACCTCAAAGTGATGGCTGTGACCGGGACTGTTATTCTCGGTTCTGTCAATGCCCAGGCGTCCAGGAATCGCTGCAGCAGGCTTGTGCTGCTCGAGGGCTTTCTCCACCGTACCTGGCGAGAGAGGGTTGGATGAAGATTCTGTGGTCCGCGAAAGAGGTGCAATAGTCGGAGTTCCACGTGCATTTTGGGGTGAGATATTCAATTCTCCCGCTGGAACTAACAGCAGGGACTGGTTTGAATGTCTTTTAGGCAGACTGGGGATTTTGCAACCTGGTATTTGTCAAGAGTAGTACATATGATCCCGTTAGATTATCTAGAAGTTTAAGTTACAATATAGTTATCTGGCTAGATGAAGGTTTTATATACAGATTCCTAGCATTCTAATATATAGAACGTAAGTATTACCGCCTTCCCTTTTTAATATTCCCTTTCGATCCTTATATTAATTAATGCTATAAATCTTAATCGACTCCCTCTTAAGGGTAGCTCTCTTTAAAGTAAGTTAAATAGTTATATCGGATAGCATAAAGGTAATATCTTAAAGAACGCCTATTAAAATAAAATAAATAAGGTAAAACTCTTTAAAAGTTAAATTATTTATAGCTATTAAAATAATAAATAAAAATAATATTAAATTCTTTAAAATAGGATATTATAAAGGATAAAAATCCTATTAATATTACTTTTAAACTATTATTTATAATATAAAGCTTTTAAAATTAAAGTATTATAATATATAATAACTATAATATATTATATATTTATTATTTTTATATATCCTTTTTCCCTCCTTTATCCTTATATTATTTATATATATTTTTATAATTACTTTTTTTAATAATTAATATTTTTATTAAAATATAAGTTATAAATAATTTATAATTTATAAGTTTTAAATTCTTAAAAAGGGTATATTACCTATTTTATATTATATTTTAATTTTTTTTATAAAGTAATATATATATATTTTTCCTATTTATTTTATTATTAATTTATATTATATTAAATTATTAAGTTTAATAATTTTATTTTAAAATAGTTATAAGTTAACCTTTAAAAACCTTATAAGGCTTTTTTAATTTTTATACCTTTTTTTAATTAATTATAAGGGTTATAGTTTTAAATTATTATATATTTTCCTTTTTAACTTTTTTCCTTTATTATAATAATGCTAAAAATATATTAAACCTTATTTTTTACCTTTTATTTAATTAATAAATTTATTATAAATATAATAAATAAAGCTATTATAGCTAAATTGTTTAATTTTATAATTAGTTAAAACTTCTTTAAAGTAACCTTTATTATTATATTATTATATTAATTACTTTTATAATATTTTAAATATTATTAATATTAAAAAGCTTTAATAAAGGATATAAAGTATAAATAAATATATATTTTATTATTTATAAGTAAAGCTAATTTAAAATAACTTTAAAGGGTTTATAGCTTATTATTATTATATTATTAAAAGTATTTTTTAAAAGTTAGTTTTATTATATTTAAATATATAAATATTTAAAAGATTTAATTTAGGTTAATTAATAATATTTATTATTTTACTTTTTAAAATATTATTTTAAAATGCTTTATAGTTTTATTTTAAACTTTTTTTAAATTATTTTTAATAGTTTTTTTTAAGCTTATACTTATTTTATAGCTTAACTTTTAATAATTTAAATTTTATATTTTTAAATTATAAAAATAATTTTTATATTATTTATTATTATTAAAAAATATAATAATAAAAGTATTTTAACTTAAATTAATTTTAATATAGAATTTTTACTTAACTTTATATATAAACCATTTTAGCTTTATTATTTATTTTAAACTTAATAATTTTTTAAACTTTTTAAAGATTAACTTTAATAATACTTTTATTAGCCTATTTATTATTTAATTAATAGTTAAAATATATTTAAAATTAACTTCTTCGGCGGTAATTTATTTTTAATATTATTAATTTTAAATTAATATATAACGCATCTCCCACTTGACCTGGCCACCCAATTAAGCTGGCCACCCCCTTAACCTATATAAAAGTCCAATGTTTCAATCTGTAATAACTTAACCAATATTGGGCCTATAATAAAATAATTAATACCATTAGATCCGTTATTTAATAAGGAATCCAGCGGTATTTTTTACTATTTTTTATAAAATTTATTAAGCAAGATATTAAGCAATACGCTAAAAGGGCGCTAGGCAAGGATCATTTTAGCGCTTACTTTAGCGTATTGCTTAATAACTCCGCGAATATAAGTCGTAAGAATTGATAAAGGGTACCGTTAAATAGCTCTCTTTATTACGAATCTAATGGTATATTTTATTATTCTATACGACCAATATTCGTAAAGTTATTAAATTATCACGTGATTAGCGCACCGACGTTTTTTGTATGGGCTAGGGGGTGGCCAGGTCAAGTGGGAGATGCGTTATTTCCCTTTACTATATAATAATAAATTATATAAAGTTAAAATTGCTTTTTAATTATTATTATAAATAATTATAGGTATGTTATTTAAATTAATATTTAATTTAGCTAATAGTTTTTATATTTAAATAATTTCCTTAATAGCTTAGGTTTACCCTTTTAATTTAGCTTTAAATAAGAATAATAAAATTATTAGCTACCTTTTTAAGCTTTAATTAATAATATTATTTTTTAAATTAAATATATATCTTAAAATTAATTAATAAGTTTCTTTATATACTTTTTAATTTAAATTAATAAAGCTTTATAGCTTAATTTTACTTTCTTTATATATTAGTTTTAAATTAATTATAAAGTTAAAGTATTTAAATATTTATTTTACCGCTTTAATATAAGAAGTATTAAGTTTAACTATATACCTATTATATTTAAAGATAGTAAATGTTATATTAGGTTAAGTATTTAATATTATATATATTAATAAGCTTATAGCCCTTTAATATTATTTTTAATCGTTTAAATTTAAAATAAAGTTATTTTTAAATACTTTTATTTTAATAAATACAGGAGTATAGGTTAGCTTTAATCTTTAATATTTTAACTTATTTAAATTTTAAAATTTAAATTTTATAAATATTTTTTTTAAGTAAGCTTTTTATAATAGCTTTAAAGTATATACCTTATAGTTTTATTTAATAACTATTTTTAAATAGTATTTTATAAGGCTTAGGTTGCTTATTTGGAATTTATTACTTAATATTTATTTAATCTTTATAATTTTTAACATTTTAGGTCCAATAATTAAAAGAATATTAATATATATAACAATATAGTAATTTCCTTAAGTAAAAACTTTAATGTTTAAATTTAAACTATTAAATTTAAAGCTTTTTAAAAATATAACTAACGTTTTATATTATATATAGGGTACCTATTTAAATTTATAAAGGGCCTTTTTAAATTTATAAACTATATTTAGGTCCTTTATAAACTTTAATAATTATTTAATAAAAATATCCTTTAATACTTTTTTATATAGAAATGTTATTTTTATATTTATTTAATAGATTTTAAAATTTAAAATAATAATAATTATAAATAATATTTTATAGCTTATAACGCATCTCCCACTTGACCTGGCCACCCAATTGAGCTGGCCACCCCCCTAGCCCATACAAATAACGTCGGTGCGTTAATCACGTGATAATTTAATAACTCTGCGAATATTAATCGTATAAAATAATAAAATATACTATTAGATTCGTAATAAAAAGAGCTATTTAACGGTACCCTTTATCAATTCTTACGACTTATATTCGCGGAGTTATTAAGCAATACGCTAAAGTAAGCGCTAAATTAATCCTTGCTTAGCGCCCCATTAGCGTATTGCTTAATATCTCGCTTAATAAATTTTGTAAGAAATAGTAAAAAATACCTCTGGATTCCCCTTTAACTAACGGATTTAAAGGTACTAATTATTAAATCGTACGATCAGTATTCGTAAAGTTATAATAGATTGAAATAATAGGATTTTATATAGGTTAAGGGGGTGGCCAGCTCAATTGGGTGGCCAGGTCAAGTGGGAGATGCGTTAGGTTTTATTATAAAGGTAAACGTTTTATTATAATTTATATTATTTCTTTATTTAAATCCTTTAATTATTTATTTAACCTTATATTTAACTATTTTTCCTAACTTATTCTATTTAAGTTTATTAACCTACTTTTTAAATAATACCTTTACATTAAGTAGTATTAATATAAAATCTTAAGTATTATTAAATAATGTTTTTTAATAATTAAGGTTATTATTATTATTTAGCTTTAAAATATTATTAAAGTTTTTAATAGTTTTATTAAAAGATCCATTTATTAAAGCTTTAAATATAATGTATAAAGTAATAATTAATATAATAATTAATATAATATTTAGTATAGTATTTATTATAATAAGGTTTAATCTTTTTTTTTTTAAATTAATATATAGTCTTTTAATCCGGTATAAGGAAAACTTTTAAACTTTTATTCTTTTATTACGTTTAGTTTTTTAAAGTTTCCTATAGTTTTATTTTTAAGGTTTTATTAAACCTGCTTTTTTTTATTAACCATTTTAGTTAAATTAGGTAAAGGGTAAAAGATCTTTTAAAAAAAGCTTATATTATTAATATTTATAACCCTTTTACTTTTTAAAAGGATTATATAATTATAGGAACTTTAATTCTAATAGCTTAACATTTTATAAAATAAGGTTTATTTAATAAATATTAATCCCTTTTTATTTAATTAAAAATATTTTTTATTAATTTCTATTATTATTATATAATTATAGGTAGGCCTTTATTTATACTATTTTTTATATAATAATATTTTAAATTAATTATTAAACTAGTATATTATTATATAATAAGCTATTTAAATAATAATAGGTTAATATTTCTATAGTATTTCGTTATTTATAGCTTATATTATTATAAGAATTATAATAGATTTATATATTCCTATTGTTCTTTTATAAATATTACTTTATTAATGTTACCCTATAGTAATAAATAATATTTAAATTCCTTAACTTTAATATATATATTTAAGTTTTCTATTAGTATTTTTTTTAGCTTTATTAAGTATAAGTATATAATACCTTTATTTAGGGCGTTTATAATGTTCGAGGAAAGATTTAAAGGCTTAGGTAAATTTTCCTTTACTTTTAAGCAATAGTACCTATATTATTTTTATAAAATTATAATATATAATAGCAATGTATATAAAGCCCTTATAATTTTTAAATATTACTTTAGGAATATTTATAATATTAACGTATAGTAATTTTAATAGGTAAGTGCTTTATTAAAACTTTCCTAAGTAAGGTATTTCCTTTATTTTAATTTAAATATAATGTTTATATATATAGGTTGGTTTTTAAGGCTTAATATATCCAGCGTTTATTAATTTTTTAATTAAGGATTTATTAATATATTTAAAATATTTATATTATAATATAAGTTTAAAATTAAAGAAGGAATAAGTAATAAAAGCAATAATAGTAGCCTTAATATTTAACTTAGGTTAATTAATTATATATAAGCTATTATATTCCGTACCTTTTAAAAATATATTATCCCCCTTTAAAGCGTAAGCTTTATTGCTTTAAAAAAGGAATTTAATATTAAGTTCTATAAAATATAATATAAAGATTAAGTTTATATTAATTATTAAATAATAAATTACATTCCTTAATATAATGGGTTTTTTTATTTTATTAATTATATTAGTAAAGGTATAATTTTTACATTAGGTTAATTATATTATTAATTTATTAATTTTAATAGTTATAGGGCATGGTATAATATATAAGTTAATAAAGCTAATTAGGTTTAAAAATATAAAAATGCTAATATTATTATTAATAATTAATATTATTTTTAATACTTTTATAAAGCTATTAGCTCGATTTTTATTAATAATAATAAATAAGGCTCCTATAACTTCTTTTAAGCGATTATCCTTAAATATATTATTTAAAAGTTTTTTTATAGCTTTAATATTAATATCTTTAACGTTAGGTTTATTTTAAAAGGTATTACCTTAAGGTAACTTTTATATAAATCCTTTAAATATTAAAGATATTAAGCTAAATATAATATTAGTAAAGTTAATAAAAATAGGTTAATTTATTAATAATAAATAAGCTATAAAGATAATATATTTAAAAGATTTAATAATAAATAAGGTTTATAATAATCCTTAAAAAGATATAAAAAGTATAATAAAGTTTACTTTTCTTTCCCTCTTTATATCTTTATCCCCTTTAAATTTCTTTACTTTATTTTTATACTATTTTATTTATTATAAATATATATCCTTATCCTAATTTAAAGGTTTAAACTTAAGGTAAGCTATAAAATAAAAAGGAGAATGTATTTTATTATAGTTAGGATATACCTTCCTTTTATTATTAAGTTATTATTTAAATGAAAAAAGATTAACTTTAATGGTTAAAAGGGCAGTTTATATTATTTATTCCTTTTAACCTTATTTAAAGTATAATGCTATATTAGTTACCTTTTTTAAGGTAATTATTATTTATATTATAATTTTAGCTATATTAATAATTAAAATTTTAAAGGTATTAATTTTTTAAGTTATTAAAAAAAAGTTAAATTTAAATTTAAAACTATTAATAAATTTTTTAATAATATATAAATATAGCTAAATTAAAGTTGGATTAAGTTTAATTATATTTATTTAAATTTATTATAATATAATAATAAATTAAATAATACTATTAATAAATTTAAACATTATTTCTTTTTATTATTAATAATATTATATAAATTAAACCTTTCCTTTAGGTTTATAGTTTTAATATAATTTATTTTATAATAAAGTAAGTATATTAAAGGGCTTTATTAGTATAGGTTAAATTTATTAATAGGTGTTTTATAATAGTTTGTTTTAAATTGTAACGTTAATTATATTACGTTTTTTAAACCATTTATCCTTTTTAACGAGGAAGGTTTTTTTATTTTCTTTTTCTTTTTATTAAAGGGCTACTTTATAAAGCCTTCCTAATAACATTTAAATAAACCTATTTATATTAAGTTTTTTTTATATATTTTAGCTCCACTTTAGCTATTATTTTAAGCTATTAAAAAGGGCTACCTTTTTAAACTCTTTAATATTATTTAATAATATTTTAGTTAATTATTAATATTATAAATAATGTAATAGTAGTTAATAAGGTTAGCTTAATTAGTTTAATAAATGGGTTAATAGTTATAAGGGGTTTTATAATATAGGGTTAAGTAACGGTTAATAATTTTTAATTAATCTTTTTTTTAAAGTTTAATATTATAATATATTATTAATATAAATCTTTTAAAAAGGCGTTTAATAGGAAAGGATTTATAAAATAGTTACCTTAAAAATCTTTAATTAAAATAAAGGGTAAATTTAAATTAAGATCTTTAATTTAAAAATTAATATTAAAAAGGGGGGCGTTAAAGTTAATAAAAAGGTCCTTTAAGGTAATTAGTTTTAAAGTTTAATAATTAAATAAAATATTAACTTTATAGTTAAAAAGATTTTAATTATTAAGCATTAAGGGGTAAAAAGAAACTTTAAATGCCTTTAATAATAATAATAAAGATAAGGATAATTAATTAATATAATTTAAACTTAAATTAATATTTTAATTATTTATATTTTTTTAATTAAAAAGGTATTTAAGCTATATTAAAACTTTATATATAAAATAAGAAAAAGTTTAAATATTTAAAAAATAAATAATATTAAATATTTAAAATTATACCTAATTATAAAGGTTATAATAAATATTTAATAATATAATTATAATTATTCCTATAATTATTAAAAAAAGGAGGTTAAGTTAAGGATTTTTAAATAGCTAGTTATATATAATTTGCTTAACCTTTATTTATTTTAAGGAATTAATAGGTTAAAAATTCTTTAAATTAACCTTTAAAACTTAGCTTTATTAACTATCATTTGAAGTAGTAATATTTTAACGTAATCTTTGTCTATAAGATCGATAAAGTGGAATTTTAACATGTATCGTTATTTTATATTCGTAAATAATAAAGGGTTAAAGATAAAGTATAATTTTAACCTTTAATAGTTAAAGATACGCTTAAATAAATATTTGGGCTTATAACCTATTAAAAGTAATATATATAATTCTATTAGATTATTTAAAAGTCTAAGTTATAATATAGTTATTTGGCTGGATGAAGGTTTTATATACAGATTCCTAGCATTCCAGTATGTGGAACGCAAGTATCACCGCCTTCCCTTTCTGACAGTGTTGTCGAGATAATACCCCATGGACAAGTTATGCAACGGCGATGAACGTATAAAACGCAATACCGATTAAGCCCATCATTTGGGCCATAGCTGCAGTCGCACTAAACATATTATCAGTCTAACGCCAAAGGATGAAGGGACTTTAACCTGAGAATCCTACATAAGACTAGTGAACAAGAGGGCAGGGCATGGTGAATGATACATTAAACAATGGATTGGCTTGGGACTTGAGCAGAAAGAAGGGTAGGACTACGCATTATATATAAATAAATCCCGTTCAATTCTATTGTCAAATGCAATTCTACATCCAATTGAACGTGAAATTACAGAAGAAATATTAGGAGCTGCAGCACTTGATTAAACTGGCGATTATATCAGCAGGGGTGATCTTGGTTTTCAGGGTTGCGGGGTCTTACTTAAGTAGAACCTGTTATAACACCTTCAACAAGCAAGGTATTAAAAACCGCTGGTGCTCCTGAGGCTTGATGTAAGTAATGTGGATAGATATATACTAGGTACTTACATATATACCATACGTAGTAGGGGTCGGGGGAGACAGTCATAGAAACTGTTACCAACTTTATAAATTGTCTCAGGATTTTAATATTTCTTAAAAGTTATAATATTCATTTATTTTAATACCGAGACTGTTCCGGGCGCGAAAGTTGTCTTAGCGACTATCTTTAATAACTAAGACAACTATAATGTTTTAAGCCGTATCTTTTAAAAAATACCTTTGCTTCGATGCTTTCTTTTTGCTGTATGACCATTTTAAGCTAGGTATGATTTTAAATCCAAAATTGAGTGTGATACGACGCGTACGGTGAGTGTCTCAAGAAATCCAAGGCTACCTATCTTGAAAGACGGTGATTATGCCGGGCATTATGGTCTTAGCTACCCTTCCCTTCCTTACCTATTAGAGCTATGTAGGTACAACCTGATGAGTGGTGGCGTTAACCTGAATGGTTATGCTATCATTTTACATCTATTATATATAGTATAAATTTAAGGTAGGCGTGCCTTGACTTTAGAGTTGAGAATGGCGGGGTTATTATAATTTATAGGAATTATGAATAATTATTTACTTATTTTAACCATTATTTAGCAATATATACTTAATATATATATTATATATAAGAGTATAAAAAACTGGTAGTAAATTGGAATGATTTATTTATAACGTAGGAGTATGTAAAATTAAAGAGGGCTACGCTAGACCTGTAAGATTGTGTAATAGCAATCTATATTGACTGGTTTTACTTGAGGTAATATGTTGGAGTAGTAAACCCGACGCGTTCTTCTTCTAGATAATGGTGCGGGGTAATTTGGCACCTATCGGTAAGCTATCTAAGATCTAAGTGGTAAGAGATAATTGCCTTTCTTCACCCTGGGCCTTTTACTTGCGGGGATGTGAAGCAATCCCTATAAACTTTAAGTTAGCTTTGAGAGTGCGCTCCAATCCGGCGCTACGAACAATGCTAAAAAGCCTATTCTTCTCCCAGCCCACTAGCTTTCCGTCTGTGTCGCTTTTCTTGAAGTAGAGGGAAGCGAAGTGTGCGAGTAATTCCTTATGGTTGAAGACCTTAGGCAACCCAACAATGGTAAGCATTAAGACAATTTTTGCATTTGGCTTTACCTTATCTTCGTTGAGATAGAAGGCGATGTGCTCTTTGATCTGACGCTGTAGTTCGGCGATTTTATCCTTGGTGAGGTTAGCGCAAGCTGCCTAAGCCTCGGATTCGAATTGCTTGGTGTTATCCTTCTGCTTTGCGTCAGCGGTCTCGGTGTACCATTCTTCAATTTGTCGACGGAACTCTTTATGCTTTATCACCTTACCTTCGCGCTTGATTTGTTGACCGATCTTGCAACGCGGACATTTGTTTCCATTACGAGAAAAGAGCAGGTATGTTGTGTGAAAGCGTTCAGCTTCCTCCCCTGCGAATAGGCAGAAGCGAGACTTTAACCACCAGCATTTGTTTTGATGGCCATAAGAGAAGCTTACTTGCTAAATATCTTGGCATATCTTAAAATGATAAACTGAACGGCTGAGTTTGCTTTTTGGTAGGGGGATTGATTGCGGCCTTCGTTGAAGTTGGAAAGTGTGTTGTAGTGGTTGCTTGCTGTGTAAGCTGTGTGATGGTAGAGAAGTTGCTTGAATTTCGAAAATGCAAATTTATTAATACCTAAAAGCTCAGATGAATAGAGAAAATTGCTTTGTTGCTTTATTTTATCTAGTTTATGTCGTCCTTTGCGTTGTTGATGAGACATAATGGAATTGTTTGATTGATGCAATAGGGTTGAAATTGAGCTCTGTTCAGATAATCGACCTAATTAACAAAGAGCAAACCTTTTTAAGTCCTTTAAAGTTCAACAATACATTTGTTAAAATCTACCGTAACCATTCTGGACTACCAATCATCAAGTTGGATGGGGATTCTATGAAATCGTCTTCTTTATACATGGAAAAACTAGTGACATAGTGTAGACATTATCAACCTAATCGTACCTATCTTTTATTCTTATAAAACAAAGTTGAGGTTCTGTTACGGAACTAAGGAAGCCTAATTTCCGATATATAGCACGGACCAAGGAATATTATATATAACATTAGGAAAGGGAATAAGGGGTAAAAATTAAAACTTCCCTTCTTATATAATAATAGAATAAATATATAAAATTATAGTTAAATAATATTATAATAGTTTATTATACTTAAAAAATAAATAATATCCTTCCTTAAAAATTAGTTTATATAAATACTTTAAACTTACCTTTAAAACGTTATAAAATTAGAACCTTTAATTCCTAATATTCCTATTTTAACGGAACTCCTTATATATAGGTATATAATTATTAATATTATTAATAGCTATTTAATAATTATAATAACTTTATAAAATTTAAATTTAAATGTTATAACTTTAAAAAATATATTATAAAGATTTATAAATGCTTTAAAATAGTTTTAATAGTTTTTTTAATAGCTATTACTTTATATAATAGATATAATATCTTAAATTATTGCTTTAAAAAAAAACGTAAATATATTAATAAAGGAATTTAAATAAAAAAATACTAAATATAAAGTATATTAAAATTTAATATAATAATAAATAAATATAATAAAGTAAACCTATATTAAAGTTTTAACTTTAAAAATTATATTAATAAATAAATTTTAAATAATAAAAAATAATACTTATTTAAATATAAATAAATAATAATTAATAAGTTATTACTTTATTAATATTTTAAACCTTATTTAAATAAACTTAATTAATAATAATTTAAATTTTAATATTAATTATAACCCTTTTAACCTTATTAAACCTTTTTTCTTTATTATTAACCCCTTAAATAAATTTAAAGATTATATTAAATTTACCTATTATATAAAAACTTAATATTATAATATTAATATTAAATTATTAATAATATATTATTAAATATAACGCATCTTCCACTTGACCTGGCCACCTAATTAACCTGGCTACATTTTTGACCTTTGTACGCACATGAAAAAAATCCCTTATTTCTCCATTAATAATTATAGAAACCCTTTATAAAGAAAGCAACCTATAGTTTACATTTTAAGCTATTAAACGAAACCCAAAATTATTTATTTAATACGTTGCTACTATTTATAATGTTCCTTATATAACATTTGCCCTTTAAACGAAAGGTTTTAAATTAATAAATAAAATACTACCTCCAAAAGCCCGATTAACTCCAAATAAAAAATAATTAATCATATAATATATCTTTAATCTTATAGTAAAATTATTTCCGCCTTTATATAGTTATATAAGAAATATAGCTAATTAATTAATAGTATTATAGGGTTAAAAGCTAATTAAAAAAAACTGGACGTTAAACTTTATATAATAAACTTTAAATATTTAAATATATTTTAATTAAAAAATTAATTATTAATAGGTATTAAATAAAAATTTAATTGAATACTATATTTAATTTATCTTTATATAAAAGATAATAAATAAAAATAGCATTTAAAAAAAATATTTATAACTTTAATAAAACTAGGTTTATAATAAATAAAATTATATTTAAAATAGTTATAACTTTAATTAAATATAAATAAAAACTATAAGCTATTTAATTAAGCAATTTAAAATAGTTTACAATTATTTAAATAATTTTATTATATAATTAAATTATTCTATTATATATTATTTTAATAAGGAAAAACTACCTTATACCTTAATATAAAAATAATAATATATTAAATAATTAAAAAATTATAACTATAAAAAATAATTAAATAATAAATAAATAAGCTATAAATTAAATTAAATATTTTAATAAATATATAAAGCTTTATATAAAAGGATATTATTGCCTTTTCCTTTTTAATAGTTATAAAAGCTATTATTTATATAAATTTAAATTGTATTATAAAGAAAATAATATTATTACCCTTTATATACTTCCCCATTCCTTTTATTGCTTTTAACTACTTAATATTAGAATATTTAACCCTTTAAAACAATTATACGGAAAATAAATTAAAGGCTTTATATAGATATATATTACCTATATTTAAAAGGAAGATTTTATAATTATATTTTTCTATATATTTAACGAAGCAATTATTTTAAATAACGTATAAGGGGGATTTAAAAAAATAGGTTTAATATTATATAATTTAGATTATATTATTAATTAATTAAATTATTTAATTATACTTTAAATTAATCCTTTATCCCTAATACTACTTAATCCTTATATAATTATAACTTTAAATAACTTAACTAAAGTTAATTCCCTTTTTAAATATATTAAATAAAGGATTATATAACATTAAAATAACTTTCCTACATTTATTATTAAAAGGTTAAGCTAAATTATATATAATATAACTAATATTATATATTATTTTATATTATTAAAGAGAAAGGTTAAAAGCTTTTATAAAGTAAATTATAAGTTTAATAAACATTATTATATGAAAAGAATTAGATTATAAAATAAAAGATCTTTTATTATTAAAGATATTAAGGATTAAATAAAGGTATAGGGTATTTTTAAAGTAAAAAATCATATTATATATTAAAATAATTGTTATACGAAAAGGAAGGAAACTTGTACCTAGCGTTATAAAGCTTATAGTAAACTTAGCTATAATATATAAACTTATAAAAATGTTATAAAAACATTTAACGATTTAAATTTAGATTAATTTAAATTAATCGTATAAATAGTTATTAAGATATTTTTAAATGCATATATAAAGGTTAAAAATGTGGCCAGGTTAATTAGGTGGCCAGGTTAAGTGGGAGATGCATTAGGAAAAATTAAAAAGGGAAACCCTTAATATTTAATAAGTTAAAACTAAATTTAAATAAATAATAAGCTAAATATATAATTTAACGGTTAAAAATATAACTAAAGCTAATATTAAATTAAAGGGTATTTTTTAATAAATTTAATAAAATCTTATATATATACTTTAAGCTATTTAAAGTTATATATATTTAAGTTTAATAATAAGTTAAAAAAGTAATAAATAATTAAAAAAAATTTAAAAAATAGGTATAAATAATATATAATAACTTATTTAAAACATTAAACAATTTATATATTATTATTAATATAACGCATCTCCCACTTAACCTGGCCACCCAATTGAGCTGGCCACCCCCCTAACCTATATAAAAATCCAATGTTTCAATCTATAATAACTTTACGAATACTAATCGTACGATTTAATAATTAGTACCATTAGATCCGTTATTTAATAAGGAATCCAGCGGTATTCTTTACTATTTTTTATAAAATTTATTAAGCGAGATATTAAGCAATACGCTAAAAGGGCGCTAGGTAAGGTTTATTTTAACGCTTACTTTAGCGTATTGCTTAATAACTCCCTAATCTAAGTTCTATAAATTAGTGAGAGGTACCGTTGAATAGCTCTTTTTATTACGAATCTAATGGTATATTTTATTATTTTATACGACCAATATTCGTAAAGTTATTAAATTATCACGTGATTAGTGCACCGACGTTTTTTGTATGGGCTGGGGGGGTGGTCAGGTCAATTGGGTGGCCAGGTCAAGTGGGAGATGCGTTATAGGATAAATATAATATTAGGAAAATTGCTATTTAATATAATAATAAAATTAATATCCCCCTTAAAACTTTTAATAATTTAAAAATATTTAAACAATTATTTAATAAAGGGGTTTATATAAGCTAATATATTATTAATAATAATACTTATCCTTTTTATTTAAAAATTAAAAGGGGAAATAAAAGTATATATAAATTATTAAGAATTAAATAATATAATAGTTAAAAATTAATACCCTATCCTATTAATTTATAAAATGTTAAATATATTATATTATATTAAGATTTATATTAAAATAAATATTATAATAGCTTTTAATTACCTTTAAATTACTCTTAAGGATAAATGGAAAATTGCTTTTATTATTAAGTTTAATTTATTTAAATATTTAATAGTTAACTTTAATATAATAAATATATTAAACTTATTTTAATATTATATTAATAATATCCTATTTAATATCCTTAATAAATATATTATAATATATTTAAATAATATTTAAATTTATAATAATTTAAAAGTAAAATATAAATAATATATTTATAAAATATTAAATAAACTTATTAAAGCTAGGTTAATTATTAATATTATAAAGTATAAGTTTAATATTATTAAAATAAAGTACTTAAGCTTTATTATCTTTATAAAAGGTATTATAATAAACCTTAATAAAGTATAAATAATTTTAAATTAAAAATTATTTAAAATATTAAAGGAATTATAATAATTTATAAGTTTTATAAATTATTACTGGTATTTTATTTAAAGCTTTTTATAAATAATAAGATTATTTATAAGCTTTATATTTAAAAGTAAATAAATTACCTTTTTAAATAATAATATAATAAAGGTATTTTAAACCTTAAAAAAAGCCTTTATAATAATATTAATATTATTTTACTATAATCCTTTAAAAAAAATAGTAATAAAAGTAAATGCTTTAAATTAAGCATTAAAAGGAATACTCTTTTAAATTAATAAAGTAGGTTAATAATATTTAATTACCTTTTTTTTAATAAAACACTTTTTAATTAAATATAATTATAAAATTTATAATAAAGAATTATTAATAATAATAAAGGTATTTAAAAAATGGTAATTAAAGCTATAAAGTTATAAGAATATAATTAAAGTTATTATAAATTATAAAACCCTTTAATACTTTATTATTATAAAGTTATTAAATTAACGATAAGTTTATTAATTAAAATTTTTAAATAACTTTAAGTTTTAAATAATTTATAAATTAAAAAAGTATATTATAATTTTAAATATACTATTTTAAAAGTAAAGCTATATATTAAAAAATAAAAAGGATATAATAAATAAAAGGGTAATGTATTAATATAAAGCTCTTTTCCTATTAAATAAGTAAATAGGATAAAGGTATAATAATATTATTTTAATATAACTATTTTCTTTTAATAATAATAAATTAATAAATATTATTATAAATTAAATATATTAAAATTTTTTATTAATAATAAAGTTAATTAATATAATAAAAAACTTAAAAGTTTAATATTTCCTTAATAAAATAAGGATAAAATTTAAAGTATTTATAAATAATTATATAATAAAATAGGGTTATATTTATATAAAGGAATGCTTATATATTTTTAAAAATATAATAATAAGGTTAAAAATTATATATAAAATATATAGCTTTATATTAATAAAATATCTAAACTAATATAAAAGCTAAAACCTTTTAAAACATTTTTACTTTTAATTAAGGATATTTTAAAATGTAGCTATTTTTATTAAAGGATATTACTTATATTAATAAATTAAAAACTTTAAAATAATATTAGTTAAATTACTTAAACCCCTTTTAATATTATATAAATTATAAATAAATATATTAATAAATTAAATAAGCCCCTTACTATTATATATTTAAAATAGTATAAAATATAAATTAATCCTAATTATAATAAATAAGCTTATAAAAATAAAACACTTTATCTTAATAATAAATATAATAATAAATATATTACTTATATAATATATTAAAAATAATTATATTAAATAAAGGTTTATAATTTATATTTTACTTTTAAAAGGAATTAAATTATTAATTAAGTATATAACTATATACTTTAATAATATATTATTTAAAAATTAATAAATAAATAAAGATTATTAATATTATAATAAAATAATATTTAAAAGCTTATTATAGCTATTATTAAAATAATTAAATAAATTAACTATTTTTAATTAAATTTATAATAAATAATTAAATATTTAAAATTATAAAGCTAACCTTTTTTTTTATAAATTATAATTAATACTTTATTATAGGAATTAAACTAATAGAGGACCTAATTAAAATTAAAACAAAAGCTTAATAAAATAAATTTTTAACTATATTAAATATAACTAATAGGATTTAAAGAATAATAAAAAAGGCTAAAACGTTA